CCTTTTTCTTCAGATATCTCATTTGTCCAGTGTTCTTCAGATTCCTTAGCCTTCCTTCTCCTGAAAGACAAAAATAAAATCCTTCCCCAACCCTAACCTTGAGGAGTTTCCAAATCTAATCTTTATCAATTTTGATTTACAGTTTCTCCTTAAATTTTTGTTTTATTTTCTAAAGATGTTCTATCATCCAGAGCAGTATGGTTTTTTATTATAAGCATTAGGTTCTTTAATTGCTCTGAGAAGGAGTTTCTTCCAAGATGACAGGAAAGGACTGAACAGAATTTGACATGGGGGCCTGTGAGAGGCCCCTTGGAGAGTTTCCCAATGCAAAGGCAAAGGATTATTTTGTCTGTCCCTTGTTGATCTACATTCATTAGTCCAGTGTCTGCCTTTACCACACCTTCTGCATAATCCAGAAGGGAGGGATATTCTGTTGAGATTATTCCTTGAAAAAACATTATTTCTAAGAACGCCCTGTTTACAGTCCCTTTTTAGGTGACCTTGTTTACTGCAATTGAAACATTTGACATTACATTTTTCTTCAAGCCTCTGGAAATCACCTCTCCTATCCAAGCATCATCACAGTCATGAGATTCAATATTAATTGTTGAATTAATCCATTCCTCCAAGGGTACTGATCTTGCCTTTAATGGCCTAACTACCCTTTTGCATTGTGCATTAGCAATTTCAAAAGCCAGAGATTCAATTATTATTTGTCTAGCTTCTGAATTTGGTATCATTCTATTCACTGCTGAAGTCTTTGTAAGAAATCAGTGAAGGTTTCTTTTGGGCCCTGTGTAACTTTAGCAAATGACTCAATTTTCTTTCCTGCTTCTTCAACTCTGTCCCAAGCATTCAAGGCTATCATTCGGCATAAAGTCAGGGTGTGGTCATCATATAAAGATTGTCTTTGTATATCAGGAAAATTACCTTCTCCAAGAAGTTGATCTTGGGAGACTTCAATATCTCTAGCCCTATTTCGCTGTTCAATGATCTCAGCCTCACCTTTCCACCAGGTCCTCCATTGTAATTGGGGACCAGTCTCTAAGAGAGCTGTAACCAAATCTCTCCAGTCTTGAGGGATAATTCTATTACAAGTTGACCATGAGTTTAACATCTGCTTCACGAAAGATGAGTGGATGCCATATGAGACTATTGCTTTTTTGAATCTCCTCAAATCTAACATTTGCACAGAGTCCCATCAACTTGTACCCAGGCTTGGGGATATCTATCATTTGGTAGTTCCTGTAAGGTTACTTGATAGATTAAGGTTGGCTGTTTGAAAGCCTTAGGCTGTTTCTCTGTAACCATATAATGCACTGCTGAGATTAGTTCACCTTTAAATTCCTCTGTCTGGGTCTGAATATCTCTATGATCTGTTTTAACATATTTTTCTAAAATTTTTATCTTGGCACTCATATTAGCCAACATTTTTAATGATAAAACAGAGATGATCAAACAAATAATATTTATAATTGACATTACATAAATCCCATCAACATTAATTATCCTCTCATTTAATTCCATTTTCATACTGTTTAATGTATAGTCTAACTAGAGACCAAACGCTTTCCATTATAACAATGTTTCCCGTTTTATAATGTGGGGAAATTTTTTTCTTTTAACTGACTTCTGAGATCCCAATTGAAAAAAAAATCCCAATTGACTCATCAAATCTGCTGACAGTGACGATTCAGATGACAGTGTGGCAGCAGCCCGAGAAGGGGCCCAAGAAAAGCCAAAACCCACCAGGAGAGGAAAGAAGCGAAAGAATCAGCCATCTCACAGGGAAAATGTGTGAAAAGTGGCTAACTCCTGCTGTTTGGGGGGCCCAAAAGCCTGTGGAGTTTGCTGCAGAGAGGCTGCAATAAAAACTTAGCCGGCAGGGTGGGCACTCTGGCCCAGGTGTAGCTCTGGCCTGAGCCACAGGCAAGTGGCCTTTTCATGAATTCATGCCCCAGAAGTTGGACGCCAGATGTGGCATAAATTCTTAAATGGTCTTATTGATAAAAACCCAGAGCCAGATATTGAGGTAAATGCTGAAAGATCAGAAAGACAAAGGAACAAGGCACTGCCACATCTTACCTCTAGGACTCCTCAGTCTGAAAAGGCTTCAGTTCCTGTCTCTTCATGCCTTTTATACCTTTCTCCATCACTTCTTTCTTTTTCCTTTTTTCTTTTTTCTTTTTTTTTTTTTGGTTTTTGTTTTTGTTTTTTTGTTTTTTGTTTTTTTGAGATAAGGTTTCTCTGTGTAGCTTTGGTGCCTTTCCTGGAACTCATTCTGTAGCCCAGGCTGGCCTCGAACTCACAAAGATCTGCCTGCCTCTACCTCCCGTGTGCTATGATTAAAGGCATGCACCACTACCACCCGGCCACCACTTCTTTCTTAGTGCTGGAATTAAAGGCATGTGTGCTTCCCAAGCAAAGGCATGAGATCTCAAGTGCTAGGATTAAAAGTGTGTGCCACTACTGTCTGGCTCTCTTTCTCTCCTAGACTGAGTCAATCTCATTCCAGGGTGGCTTTGAACTCACAGAGATCCAGACAGATCTCTGCTAACTGAGTGCTAGGATTAAAGGTGTGTGCCACCACTGCCTGGCATCTATGTTTAGTCTAGTGACTTGTTCTGTTCTCTGATCTTCAGGCAAACTTTATTAGGGTACAATATATCACCACAATAACCCAGGTATGGTGGCACACACCTGTAATTCCAGCACTCAGGAAGTGGAGGTAGGAGGATCAGAAGTTTAAGGTCATCCTCAGCAATAGAAAGGTAGGGCCAGCCTGGGCTACATGAGACCTTGTGTTAAATTTAAAACACACACACATGCACACACACACACACACACACACACACACACACACACACACACACCACATTTCTTAAGAATTATTTTACCTCCAATGTAACTCAATCATTTTTTTAAAGATTCATTTCATTTTTAACTCTGTAAGTGTCTGTGTGGGAATCTGTATGTATGAATGCAGCTATCCATGGAGTACAGAAGAATGTGTTAGAACCCTTGAAGCTGGAGTTACAGGCTAGTTTGAGCGGCTTGGCTTGGGTGCTGAAGTGTTCTCTTAGCCGCTGAGCCATCTCTCCAGCACAAGGTTCCCATTCCTTTAAACTCCCAGAATAAGCCACCCCCCCCCATCCCTCAACTCACAGCTTTTCACCAGGGTTCAGGCTGAAACATTCTTCTACATTTCCTTTTCATTTCTTCCCCTTCCTTTTAGACAAGGTCTCAAACTGGCCTCACACTCTATGTAGCCAAGGATGAGCTTGAACTTCTGTTTCTCCTGCCTTAATCCGCAGAGTACTGGGGTTACAGGGTGGGCATCCAGTTTCTGGGGTGCTACCAATGGAATCCAGGGTTTCCTGTACTCGAGGCAGGCACTGTACCAACGGAACTACACCAGGGATAATTTTATGGTTCTATCCGCTGTGCTTCAGGTCACAGCTCAGCTGTTAGCTCCCTGCCAGGGCTAGTCTCCCAGTTCCATCCTGTTTTTCATACTTACCACCGTCTGGAAACATCGTCCAGCTATGATAGCTCCTAAGAACAAAGGGCAAGTTGAACTGACTTTTAATTCAGTAAAATCAAAGCTTGACCTCCTACATTGCGCAAGATCCAGCACATTTGGCTAGTGGCTTCATCTCTGGACAAAACAGACAGTACTCCTGTCACTAAAGACGCTAGACTTTACAGTTTATTCTTTCTCGATGTCTTCTCAATATCGTGTGAGGCTTTATGTTTTATCTTGCCTTTTTTTTTTTTTTTTTTAAGTTTTTGTTTTTTGAGACAGGGTTTCTCTGTGTAACAGCCCTGTCTGTCCTGGAGCTTGCTCTGTAAACCAAACTGACCTCAAAGTCACAGAGATCTGCCTGCCTCTGCCTCGTGAGTGCTGGGATTAAAGACATTCACCACCAAGCCCGGCTTTTTTTGTTTTTGTTTTTGTTTGTTGTTGTTTTGTTTTGATTTAGGATTTTCTATTTTATGTATATGGTGCTCTATCTGCATATACACCTGCGTGCCAGAAGAGGGCATCAGATCCCATTATAATGGTTGTGAGCCACCCTGTAGTTGCTGGGAATTGAACTCAGGACCTCTGAAGAGCTGACAATGCTCTTAACCACTGAGCCATGTCTCCAACCCCCTTCTTTTGCTTTTAAGACAGGTTCTCATAGGTAGCACTGGCTGACCTGAAATCTGCTACATAGTCCAGGCTAGGCCAGACTCTCAGAGATCCACCTGTTGTTGCTTCCTGAGTACTGGGATTAAAGGCACCCCATGCACCACCATGGCCAGCTTTTTGTCTTTGTTGTTTATAGTGCTGGGAACTGAGCTCAGAGCCATCCTCGGGCTAAGCAAGTGCCTAACCACTGAACTAGATCCCCAACCCAGTAAATGAAAGGGTTTTCTTGTTGTTGTAGTTTTAAGTTTCTGCTTGTTTTTTGCGATGTCTGTAGTTCAAACTGTCCTCAAACTTGTGCTCCTGTCCGAGCCACCCCAGCGCTGGCATTACATATGGAAGCCATTGTACTGATTTTGTTTTCTCAGAGAGAGTCTCGCTCTATAAGCCAAGCTGGCCTTAAACTCACCATCCTCCTGCCTCTGGCACCCAAATACCGCGGTGGTTTAAATGAGAAACTTCCTTTGTAGGCTCATGTGTTTGAACACTGGGTCCCCAGTTGGTGGTGCTGTTTGGGGAGGTTTGGAAGCTGTGGGAGGTGGAGCCGTGCTGCTGGACGAGGTATCACCCTGAGGAGAGCTCGTTCTCATTATCTCTTCTCTTCTCTCTTTCTCTTCCCTTCCTTCCCCACCGCCCACCACCCCACACCCCACCACCATCTCACCCCTTCTGGGGTAAAGACAAAAATATGACCTTTGCCTCCTGCTCCTTCTGTGCTATGCTTTCTTTCCCTCTGGAACACTGAGGCTAACGCCAACCCTCTCTCTCTTCCTTCACTTACCTCTAGTCATGGAGTTTCATCACAGCAGCAGAGACGCCAAAGCAGACCCCACGCCTGTCTTCCCTTGACAGTCATCCGTAAAGAGCTGTGCCTCGTCCATCTGCCTTAGGATTGGACCCGACCCTGCCGCCGCCGCCGTCGGTAAGTGTTTACTCTCTTATCACAGCTTTCAAGGCTGCTGCTGCAGGGTTGTAAAAAGAATGCCACAGAGTAGCGAGGGCTTTGGGAACTTTTTTTATCTGTGGGTTTTGTGGGGGGCGGGAATCACAGGCATACTGACGGTAACTTTTTTTTATTCTCTCATTTTTTTCCCATCTTGGCTTCTCTGTCTATTTTCTCATGTTGGCTCCAGCTCTCCTTTGTCTCAACAGCTATATACTTCAATAGCCTCTTTCATGCAGAATACAGGAGTTATATTTTAAGGTCACATTTCAGAAAACGATAAGAAACAGCCAATAATCCTGTAATAAATCTTAGCTCTGTAATTGCTGGGGCTGTAATGTTGCAGCTGCAACTCCAAAGAAAGATCCAATTATTGTTATCTATTTAGAGAGATAGTGAAACTCTTGAGGGGTCTAAGAGAAATAAGAAATTTGTGCATACATCCTATATTTCTAACTGTAGTAACATTTTAAACTAATGTAGCTGTGTGGTCGATACACGAGTGTGTGGGTTCATGCGGTCCATGGAAATAAGACACAGAGGCATCTTAAGAATGAATCTAAGCCGGGCGGTGGTGGCGCATGCCTTTAATCCCAGCACTCGGGAGGCAGAGCCAGGCGGATCTCTGTGAGTTCGAGGCCAGCCTGGACTACCAAGCGAGTTCCAGGAAAAGGCGCAAAGCTACACAGAGAAACCCTGTCTCGAAAAACCAAAAAAAAAAAAAAAAAAAGAATGAATCTAGCCTGTCATGGCTGCAGGGGGGTCCAGCCTCGAAGAACTGAAGCACTCTTCTCTTCACCTAGGGCATATTTATTTACTCTTTTTTACAGTTTAGATAGTTAATTTCCATACCTTCAGGGCAACCCAAAAGGAGCTCCCAGAGACCAAATGCCAGGTGCAAATTACTTGATTTCTCAGGTACCTCGGTTTTCTGGGTTTCCTGGACCAAGTTTTGCATAGGCCTTTGATCCTTGGGGGACTCTCTGATCCTTGACTCTCAAATAAGATTCACATAGGGTGATAAGAGGAACAAAAGGTAAGAGGAACAAAAGGTGTGGTTAAACAAAGCAAGGATCAGGGCTAGGTGCTGCTCTCTGGAGCCAGGCCAGGAGCTCAGCAGGAATGCCACTACAGATGCCCCTTTTATTAAAAATAAATAAAAAACAAAAAATTACTATCTTGAAGGTTATGCAGCCTTACAGCAAATATAGCCTTCTTTCTATTTGTCTTATAATCTTACGCAAGTATATTAAAACATTTTAAAGCCACTAAAGTCACTATAGCTAATACAAGGGCAACACCTACTAGAATAAGAAGTCCATTAAAGTGATTCGTAGGATTGAATGAGACTATAATATCTGTTAGATTTTCCATCATATCCATTCCTGTTGTATCAGGTAACTTTTTTGCAAAAGTTTTTTTGATTTCTTTCTGTAAATCAAAAACCATTTGAGAAGAATTAGGGTGACCCAACAAATGCATTCTAACCTTTTCCCAATCATATTTGCTCTCATTAAATCTTAAGGGCGTGATACAATAACAAGAAACATTCCGATCATATTTTAATTTTAACTGCTCCTTTAAAATCTCTAACTGATCACCTAACAATACAACAGCTTGCCTTAGTTCAGCTAACTCATTTACTATCTCATTATCAATTTTACTTTGTTCAGTCCAAAGTTCTTTTGAATGCCTATGTCAGTCTCTAATGAATTCAGTGGTTTGGATTTCTTTATGAAGCACTACTCCAGCCGTCACTGTCGTATCTGTCAATGCAATGATTCCCATAATAACTGCAACCACCAGTCCAGCCATACGACGTGTTCTTTTTAGTACTCTTTCAACGAGCTTCTGTACCAGGATCATCGCAGGAGAGTCTTGCCATGGCCTTGACAACTTCACTGGTATCCAGATTGTTGGCCTTGCTCTAAGAATATATAAACTTTCAAAGGTTAAATTTAAAAACATACTAGAATTAACACAGATACGAAGGGTACACCATCCACAAGTGATGCTGTAATTACTTGGGTACCATTGTACAGGCCCCTTTAATAGCAAGTAAGGTAATGGGACACATGCCATAAAAGGGTGGCTTTGAGTTAGTCTAAAAGACAGAGTGTACTTATCATCTTTAATGTTTGATTTTCCTTCTCACGCCTTAAGAGGGTGGAAGGCACTTGCCAATTTCCACAAGTTAGTCTGAATTGAATCACCAAATTGCAGGAGAGGCCTTGCCATTCCAACTCCATGCCACTGAATAGGTCCATTAACAGAAGCATTGATTTTCGTAGTTCCATTCAAATTATACCGTTTCCGTCTTCACTCTGAGTGAGAATATTTCCCGTGAGGGGAGCCGTAAGGGCTCCAGTGAATGACGTCTCCATGGAGACACTAATTAGCACTCGAGGTTCCCACTCCTACACTGTTGCCGATGGACCCAGTCAGGTTCCTTGTTGGTCACCCTCAGCTCACAGACCGGTAGATTTATGGAACCAGTAGCATTAATCTCCTGCCCTTTAAAGCCAGATAAAAGCATATAAAATTTATTATAACAATCTTGGGTAGTATTGACTATGGACAGCCATACTTGAGAGGTTATTTTTAGGCATTGAATTCCATTTCCCATGCAAATAGGAATTCCTTGTTCTCCAACAGTGTAATTGTCAATCACTCTACCCTCCTCCATTGGCTGAGCGGGACCTCAGCTGTCATAAGGACCAGGTAGCCAAGATTTATTAACCACTACAGGAATGAATATTCCTATCTCCCCAAAACATTTTGTGATTAACAGAAATGCCAAGCTTTCTAGAAATGTTTACAGAAAGAGAGCTATGTCATAAATGCTTTGATTGGAACTCAGGTTTACCTTAAATTTCTTGATATGAGCTCATTATGACATTCTCCAAAGGCACAGTGACAATAAAGGGTTTTTTTAAAAAAAAGATTTATTTATTTATGTATTATGTATACAGTGTTCTGTCTGCATGTACCCCTGCCCGCCAGAAGAGGGCACCAGATCTCATTACAGATGGTTGTGAGCCACTATGTGGATGCTGGGAATTGAACTCAGGACCTCTGGAAGAGCAGCCAGTGCTCTTAACCTCTGAGCCATCTCTCCAGCCTCAATGAAAGGTTTTAAAATCTTGAAATATATTTTTTTATCCTGCATGTAACTTCTGGTTGTCTAAGAACACCTACAGCCCTCGTTAGGGGCTACAGACTCAAGATATTTATTTTTTTGTAGCCTTGACTAGTCAGAATATATTTTTACAAATTGAAATCAGGAATGTGTGCAAAGACAAAATCATTTGCCAGCTAGCAATATTTGGGCTTTTTTGTATTTATGACCTAGGCTCGCTCCGTATGTCCTTGTGAACTAGACTGCTATTTCTGGGAAAGTATATCTTAAAATCCATTAGCAAGGCATCTGGTCTTAATCTAAAGTTACTTTGAAGCCTTAAATCAGCTGTCTTAGAGCTGGGGAGATGCAACTGTTTTCTTACGTCAGCCTGAACTCTGAATTTAAACACTTCTCAGGGACTTATAATTCCTGAATTGTGTAGTATTTCTTTGCATTCATATTTATTCATTATACTCTGTGTAAGCTAACATTATAGATATTAAATGGACAATACAGCTTTATGAGGAGTCATCTTTTAGACAGTCCACAGAATAGAATAAATGCCCACAAGATTGAGATGTAATCATGAGATTACATGTACACATTACACGAGATTACACCTTACAGTCTAGGTGGTGGGGAGATTCCACAGCTGTTTTTGCACATGGGAAATTACAAGCAGAAGCAAACAGTATTCAGTCTGTGGCCTCATAAGCCTTGCTTGAACGAGGTTCCTCCATCAGAGGATTATTCATCTGGTGGGTTGACACCTGAATATAAATTGCCATCTGCTGTATTATGCCATGGCCCATGACACTGTCTGAAGGGGCCCCACAGCACCTGGAAAAGTGGATCCACGGTGCCATGGGAACAGGGGCCCAGACACCCACACATACAGCAGGTGAAACCTCCTCGAAATCTTTATTGCTCTTAGCATTGTTGCTATACTGGAGGCTTCCTCGGCTCAGGCAGTTGCTGATGTCCAAGGTCAGAAACTCCAAGAATAGACAGAACTCCCTGGGAGAGGTGGGCTTTCAGGATGATGTCATGCTCTCTGTCTCAAATATTAATGTAACAGAGCTGGCCATCAGAAGGCACCCCACGAGGATGCTGGAGATGCTGAAGCCCAAGGCCAGCCTGGAGTTCCTCTGCGCTCGCCTCCAGTCCCCGCTGTAGTTAGCTTCCCGGGTCTGTGGAGGTGAAGGCCACGCAGGCAAGATGGTTTCCAAGAGGAAAGAGGTGAAGGAAGGGGAATCCCTGGAAATCCGGGCTCGGTCCCCAAGAGAAGAAGAAGTAACCAAGAAGGGGACAGGATGAGAGAGTGGAGCTTAGCAGGACCCAGGAGCTGAAGGAACCAAAAGGGGCATGCAGCCAGATGGTGAAGAGGGAGGGAACGGTCCCCATGGGACATGAAGCGGTACTTGAGGGAGAAGAGCGGGCGGGAGGGGGATGTGATCAGGAGCCGGATGGTACTCACCTTAAGGGAGAATATCAGGGCTGGGATCGCCAGCAGGATGCAGAAGCAGAAGGAGGTGACGGAGAGACACAGATAATCCTTTGCCGGGGGAGGCAAGGCAATCAGCATGACCGGGACAGACACAGGGGGCGGTTGTTGGGCCCGTTTCCCTGACGGAGCCTGAGATTCTAGGTTCTTGATTTTGGTCCCAGGAGCCATGGATCCCAGCCTAAGGAGGGGATTCTGGGTGAATAAAAGCTGTGCACAGAGGGTAAAGGAGTCGAGAAGGGGCATCCGAGATCCCTAGAAAGGAGAGTCTGAGCCAGGCCCGGTGGTATAGGCCTGTCATCCCAGATGTTCAGACTGTACCACAGAATGTGTTGACCTTGTCTCAAAAGAAAAAGTAAAAAGAGGCTGAAGATTTAGCTCAGTGGTAAAAACATGTGGAGGAGCGGGGGATATGGCTCCGCAGTAGCAGGGACAGGTGGGGGCATGACTCAGCAGCGTCAGAACCCTAGCCTAAAATCCACCAGTGAGAGGCAAGAGGCAGGGCTCAGTGCTATAACTTTGCAAACATCTGGGCCCAAGCCAAATGAGGTACAAGACACTGATGATGCCATCCCAAGCCAGGGATAGGACGACATCTAGAGTCCACCACACCTCCATGGTCCTAGGGAATAGACTTGCTGGCCCCATATCCCCTCCCCCTGCTTCCTGGAATCCCCTTCCTGTCTCTTTCCTTCTTTTAAATCCTACTTCTTCACACACACATACACACACACACACACACACACACACACACACACACACACACACACATACACTTTGCTCCCTCATTGTCCATAACTCATCACAAACCCAAAGTCTGCAGGTCTTCTCTTTACTCTTCAGTTCCTGAGATAGCCTTGCCAATCTGAGTCACTGGGTGTGGCCTCTCTAGTGCCCACTACTTCATAGTGCTTAAATCTGATTGGTTCAATGACTGTAAGGGGCATTATTCAGCCACACCTTTTTCTTCATACTCTTGTGACTGATGCTTTGAGTCAAGGAGCCTGCATTACAGTTAATGGCCTTTTTGTTATCCCCCACCCCACCCCACCCCACCCCACTCCCATTTGAACTGATTAACTCAGTGGCCAGTGTAAGGGTCTCACTCCCAAGCTGAACAGGAGCCTGTAGGACAGACAGTACTGCTGATCACACCATGGTAACATCCTGAGATTTATGCCCAGGCCACAGAGTGACTCAGGCCAACAAGTTCTTGGCTCTCCAAAAGTTCACAGCTCATGGGAAAGAAAAAGGAAACAAACAAAAACACAAATAAATAAATAAATAAATTTTATATATATATATATATATATATATATAGAGAGAGAGAGAGAGAGAGAGAGAGAGAGAGAGAGGAGAGAGAGACAGAGAGACAGAGAGACAGAGAGACAGAGAGAGAGGCTGGAAAGATGGCTCAGAGGTTAAGAGCACTGGCTGTTCTTCCAGAGGTCTTGAGTTCAATTCCCAGCCACCACACGGTGGCTCACAACCATCTATAATGAGATCTGGTGCCCTCTTCTGGCCTGCAGGCAGAACACTGTATACATAATAAATAATAAATCTTTTTAAAAAATGAATTAACAAAACTAACTGTGAGCCAAATGTGAATTTGAATTTAACTGTGAGCCAAATACGGTTTGAATTTAAAATGCCATGCTCACATTTTGAACACTTGGTCCCTGGGTTTGCGGCGCTGTTGTGAAGGTTGTGGGAGTTTTAGGGAGTAAGACCTGGCAGGCAGAAGTCAGTCTCTGGGGCAGGCCTCTGAGGGAGTTCCCCAGCTTTACTGGCAGTGGCCATGTGAACAGTGGCTGGTTCCGTGGTCATTGATCCTGCAGGCTGTATGGTACTGAATAGCAGTTTCCTCCCAACTAAAAAGATTTCCTCCTGGAGGTAGCCAGGGCTCTTGAGATAAATAGAAGCTCACATGTCTGTGTATAAGGTTGAGAGACATTAAAAGATAATTTTGGTAGCATAAGTTAGAATAGAAAGTGAGTTAGGTACAACTTTTTGGACTCACCAAGATAGGATAGATATGGTGTATTTTCTCTGAATTTGTCAAATGTTAATGGACTGGACACTGTTGATGTATTTATTGCCTATATATATTGTATATAGTTATTGTACTTACTGTATATAGTTTTTTTTACATTAGTTATGTTCTTTTTATTTTAGACAAAAAGGGAAAATGTGGTGATATTTTGTTTGTGCTTTAACAAATAAAGCTTGCCTGAAGATCAAGGGGCAGAGCTAGCCACCAGAGGCCAGGCAGTGGTAGCACACACCTTTAATCCCAGCACTAGGGAGGTGGAGACAGGAAGTGATATGGCTGGGCAGAGGGAGGAGTATAAGGTGGGAGGAGACAGGAGCTCAGCCCTCTTTCAGGCTGAGGAGCTGGCGAGGTAAGAGGTGGTGGCTGTGGCTTGCTATTTGTCTCTCTGATCTTTCAGCATTTGCCCCTATATCTGACTCCTGGTTTTTATTATTAAGACCAATTAGAATTTGTTCTAATGTCTGTCTGAGAGAACCAAAACTTGGAAGACTCTTGAGGGCCCCTCCCCAGAAGTTAAAGGAGTACACAACTATAGTAGAATGTAAGCACTTTCTTGCTGAACCAGGGTATCCTGATATGGTCAGTGGGAATTAAAACCAAGTGAGGTTGGAGGGGTCTCATTAAGACTGATGTTGAGACAAGTCTATTGCAAGCAATCAGAATCTTTATCCCCTTATCAGAAACAGATTATAATGGCAGTTTCCAGGAAGAATACAATTGTGATTGCCAGGATACAGTGACATTTGCAAGTCATACAAGGTACACATGATTAATACCTAAGACTAATTGTTCTGCCAAACTTCTGTATCAGGGCCCAGACCTTAGCACAACTGACTCCATGATGGAAGTGCCATTCAGGTTGTAAATCTCAGCATGTAGACAGCACCACCTGCCAAAATGCAAACAAAGACCTAATCCGTCATAGTCCATAGTTCTGGGAAAGTCTCTAAATGTGCTAACCTTGCTTTTTGGCTTCTGTAGTTCTGCTTCTGGCTAACTGTTCTTGTTAACTGAAGTTTATCAACCCAGGATATGGTTTTTTGCTATGAGCCGCATGAATATAGTAGGAATTCAGCAGAATATGGTAAAGCTGTACATGGAGGAATCAGGGGAATTCTTCCAGAGGAACCCAAATCTCAAGGAGTATTTGGTGTTATTTGGCTTTTAATAATACATCAGCTGTTTCCTGCTATGAATTTCTTGTGTGCTCTCATACCTTCCCCAAGAACTTCTAACAGTGGATTTTATCTCATACTAGCATCCAAAGCCAAAAGGCAGACAGGACAAAGCATTTCAGACCAACCACTGAGTCTCTCAAATTAAGGTAAACACCCTTATGGAGACAGGCTTAGGAGACAGGCGATGTTAGGGGCATAGCTGTTTCTTGTGCAAATGAAGCTCAGACCCTCCTTTCTTACACAGCCTTAGTGGTATTTATACTAACATTATAGACACCTAACGTTCTACCTAACCACTTTTAAGAATGTAGTTTGAGCACATAAATTCCCTTTTTCTGATATATTAACTGATTTTAGCTCTTAGTTAACCTTCTCCCTTACCACTCCCCTTTTGGGTTGTAAAAGAAAACCTGATAGTCACTGCCTGAGGAAAACTCTTATCTGCCTTTACGACCCTGTAAGAATTCAAGCCTGGTGACCTTGCCTTAGCCAGAGCATTGCTATTGCATGGGTACATAACTGTAAACCTCAGAGACTTGGGGACTAGATTGGAGAACTGGATGGAGAAGTGGAAAGACAAAGGGTAGATGAGGAAGAGTCTGATGGGGAAGAACTAGGCAGGTGAGAACGAGATGAGAAAGACCAGGATGGGGCAGAACTAAGATGAAGGAATCACGACAGCACTTGGCGAGAATAGTAGATAAAGGTAGAGAGAAATCCAGCAAGAAAGGAGCTCAGCATGAGAGCAGAGTAGAAGCTGTGTAGAGAGAGAACTGACTCAGAAGAAAAAAGTGGATGGACTAAAGAGTTTTGCGCACATAGATTGGTTAGTTAACCCCTCAGATTTATCAGCCACCGGTAGTGTCTTTTCTGGAACTCTGGGTGAAGGCTATCAAGAGGCAGAACCCCAATAGCCTTCCTTAGTTTTTGTGCTTAAAAGATCATCCTGAGAAAGGCTCAGTGGTACACCGGGATCCTGAACACCCATTGTAGTCAAAACCGGCTAATGAAGACTTTCTATTGAAACCCATGTACACGTGGTCTTTTCTAGTGAATAACCCCCAACACTTCTAGATGCTTCTCTGACTTCTAGGGAATGCAGAGATACCTAGGTGGTCTGAAGGCTTCACTGACTTGGGGAGTGCCTTGGTTTCTCAGGAACTGAGCACCATGCCGTGCCTTAGGAGCCACGGACTCTAACCTGAAAAACCTATGACACATGCCTCTCTCAAGGCAGCTAGCTAACTCCATGGTCCCCTGCAGGAGGAGATACTGGCAGCCTTTTTGGTTTGGGACAGCAGAAGAGAAGCTACCTTTCTGAGACAATTTCTTGGGCTGTTGGGTTGCTGGGCTGCCTATGAGCTGTGCAGAGGGCTCCCGAGTTGCAGCATTAGTTGGGCATTTCCTTGATGGTGCAGCAGCTTTGGAGTTATCCCTGTTCCTTGTAAAGAACCCCTCCTCAACACCTGAGTAGGCAAGGGGACTCAGGCAGGCCCAAACATGGCCAACACAACTCTAGTAGGCTTTGCGCTTCCCCCATCTCCTCTGCCTTGCTGAAAACCATTAGATTACATTCCTAAAGCTGGCCACAAGGTCTGTTCCCTCATTTGGCCACTTCCTCCCCATAAAGCTGATTACCAAGCTCCAGCTATCAAGATATTTAGTCCAGCAATCAAAAGCCCCCTTGTGGCTGCCCCTCTGGGCTAAATAAATCTCCTTTGTGCTGAGAACTTGGTCTTGGAGTGTCCTGTGCCAATACTGGTCCTTTCATATTGGAAATCCGGTCTCAGCTTTACTGTGCCAAAGGTCCCATACATGCTCTGAAGAGTCAGCAAGAGCTGCAGTGTTTATGGTTGGTCTAGATTGGACTCACAACTGTGTGTAACTTCAATTCCAGGTGACCCCATATCATCTTTTGGTATCCACAGGCACTGTGTGCATATGGTACACAGACGTGGAAGCAGGCAAAAATAAATAAATAAATAAATAAAGATAGATAGATAGATAGATAGATAGATAGATAGATAGATAGATAGATGATAGATAAATGAACTGAACAGCACAGGGTGCATGCTGACTTTGCATCCCACTCTCTATTGCCAAAGCCCCTTCCACTTTACCTTGAGAAGAGAGACCCTTGCCATGTACCTGCTCTGAGCATCAGCTCAGTTTCTGTAAAAAACATGAGCAGACAGGAAAATTTAACCCACCAATGACAGATGGATGTTATCCAATCTAGACACGGGACTAGGACTAGGTTCCGTTGGTCCTTTCATCAGCCTCTGAGAAAGCCTGAGATCGGTCTGGCTCCCAACACATGCAAGTGTTGTGGGATATTTGATCACACTGTGAACCCTGACATTGTGTTAATTAAATAAAATCAACCTTGGGTCAAGAGGCAGACTAGTTCACAGGAAGTAGCCCTAGAATAAGAGGGAGTCAGGAAAATGTATCCAAATGTATCTAATGGTTTTCAGCAAGGCAGAGGGAATGGGGAAGCACAAGGCCTGCTAGAGAAACGCACAGGTGGGGGGGGAGACGGGGGGGGGGGGGGGACTTTGAGTCTGGCAGCCTTTTTGGTTTGGGACAGCAGAAGAGAAGCTCCCTTTCTGAGACAATGGCTAAGAAGGAAGGTCAGCTGGTTGGTTGCTCCTTGGCCTCTCTGAGCTAGCAGGTTTTCACCCCAGCCTCTGACTCCCGAGTCTTTATTGGTAAAATTGTAAGATTGAGATTTAGTTTAAAAACAACAGGAAAGCCTGTGAGGTCAGATGCCAGCCAGTAAGGCAAAAGCATGTCATCACCTACATGAGAAAAAGCTAAGCGGGGACTGGAGACAGGGTTTAGCTTAGAATTCTCTGAAACCCCCCTCAGCCAGCAGAATGAGATCTGTGGGAGTCAAGAAGGCAGTTTGGTTCAATACGCCTAAGTAGCTGGTGTTGGTTCTAACTTCAGGAGTCTGGCCCAGAATGTTTTACTGCAGGTGTGTTTAAGCACAGCACCATTTGGTGAAAACTTTTCAGGTGATAATTAACTCAATCCTGTGTGCACAAAAAAGCACACATAAAATCTCTCTGAGGGACAAAGTAAGCTGAATAGAGATCAGGCATGACTACACAGAAACTCTGTGAAGTATATGTGACACCGTCTATAGGTTCTGTGGATTGACTGAGAACAACAAGCTCCTGATAAGGGTCTGGGGAGGATCTGGTCTGGAATCTCACACACACAAAGGTTGCCAGGCTAGAATGCACATCCCCTCCCAGACTTCTGGGCAGACAAGTATTGAATGCCTTCCCTTGAAGAGACAACCCTGTGTACCAACATTCCAGGTTCCCCTAGTGCTTATTGACCACAAGGACCTCATGCCCCCTACAGCTTAGGAGTTGAGAGCACTAGTTGCTCTTGCAGAGGACCTAGGTTTGGTTCCCAGTACCCACATGGTGGCTTACAGTCATCTATAACTAGTTCCAGAGCATCAAATACCCTCTTCTGGCCTCCATAGTACCACATGCATGTGTCACTCAGACATACATGCAGACAAAAACAAAAAAAAACATACACATAAAATGAAAATAAATGACAGTTTGTCAAAGGTTTTTTGTTTGTTTCTTTGTTTTTTGTTATCGTTTTTGTTTTTAAAGTGAATTGCCTCTCCCAGTGTGCTTGCTAGTCTGGTTTGGTTTCTGTTACACTCTTTTAACAAAAAGAATTGCCTTGCCAAGCTGCTTTCACTCTGCTCTTGTATTCCTTTGTAAACACAATGAGTATTCTTTGTTTTTAACAGTAACCATTTGCTGAAAGCAGCCAACATGTTGAAAATAAATATGCATGCCTCATGTTGGAAACATATGGCTAGAGTGTGATGACATGTTTGCAGTTTTGAATCCTGTCTGAGACACTGGAGAGAGAGGGGAAAGTAATTCTTTTCTGTTGTATGGTGGTTTGAATGAAAATGGCCCCATAGGCTCATGTTTGAATACTTGGTCCCCAGTTAGTAGAACTGTTTGTGAAGGACTAGGAGGTGTGTCACTGGGGGTGGGATTAGAGGTTTCTAAAGCCTGCATGAGGCCCAGTCTTGCTCACTCACTCTCTACCTCCCTGAAATGTTTGGATCAGATATGAGCTCTCAACTACTTCTCCAGCACCATACCTGCCTGCTGCCACGCTCCCTGCCATGATGATCATGGACAAACCCTCTGAAACTGTAAGCAAGCCCCCAATTAAATGCTTTCTTTTATAGGTTGCCTTGTTCATGGTGTCTTCTCATAGAAATAGAACAGTAACTAAGACATCTTATAAAACTCCTAAAACATTCTGTAAAAAATGATCGCTTATTCCTGTTTGATAGGCATGTACTATTGCATACATAAAGAACAAAGCCCTTCGTTAGGTATGGACACAGATGTCAGACATGGGACAACAGACAGAGGCAGATGGAAGATACAGAGAGAGAAGTAGATAGTTTAAACGGGGCTTGCTCTTGGTTTAATCTACTCGGAGAACCAGATTCTTTAGTGCAGTACTACCATAGGGCTACATAGTGAGACTTTGTCTCAGGACAGAGGGCGGGGGTGGGGGGGAGTACAGATATGCCACTGAAGTGTCTCTCTCTGTTGGCCATTTCTTGGATGGATTTTGGTTCCATGTTTTCCTTGGCTTTGTCAATCATCAGAAAAAGTTGATAAATATTTAAGATGAACGGAAAGTACTTCTGACTCTAGACATCTTCAATTAGTGGGAGTGGGGGTATTTTGGAATAATCCTTTTGTACACTGTGAAGAAGTGTCACTCTGACTGGTTTCATAAAAAACTGAATGGCCAATAGCTAGGCAGGATTTCCAGGCAGAGAGGACGCTGGGAAGCAGATGGGCAGAGTTGTGAGGAAACAGCAGGGAGGCAGAGCAAGCAGGATGGCTTTACAAAGTAAAGGAAACTGAGTCACATAAACTAACATCGATTAAAAGATGTCGGTTAATTTAAGTTATAAGAGCTAGTTAGAAACAAGCCTAAGCTCTCAGCCAAGCTTTTACAATTAGTAATAAGTCTCTGTGTCATAATCGGGGAGCCGACGGTCCCAAGATAAAAGTCTGACTACAGGGGGGCATACTACAAACTTCTCAACTGGGACCTATGGTGATATTTTATTTGTACTGAAATGTGATTTTATTTGTATGTTAATAAATAAAGTTGCCTGGGGGTCAGAGCTAATAGCAAGCCATAGCAAAAGCTGGGCAGTGGTGGTGCAAGGCTTTAATCCCAGCACTTGGGAGGCAGAGCCAGGCAGATCTCTGTGTGTTCAAGGATACCACCAGCATGGAGACACACGGCTTTAATCTCAATACCAACCATAAAAGATCTGGAGATCATAGAAGATCTGGAGGGCAGTGACAAGGAGGTCATGTGGTTGGGTTTACAACCAATGAGAAGGCAGAATAGAAAGTCAATAAAAAGGACAAACAGACAGGAAGTAGGTCTCTTGTGGAGGAGGACAGCAGCGGTAGTGAAGGGTAAGGTTTTTAGCTCTTAGCTATTGCTCTGACCTCTTGGGCTTTCATCTCTGAATTGGCTCTGTGTTTCTTATTTAACAAGACGGTTACATCTACAGGGACCATTGTTGTTGCTGGAATTAAAGATGAGTCAGAGTGTAAAGGTATCTGCCACCAAGGCTGATGACTTGAATTCAATCCGTGGATTCCACGTGAAGGAAGGAGAACCAACCTGGAAGTTGTCCTCTGACTTACACACACCACACACACACACACACACACACACACACACACACACACACACACACGCTGTGGCTCATATCTCACCCACAAATACACAAATAAAATGTGATTTTAAAAATCACTAAATGAATTTTATCTTAGATTAGGACAGAACCTACAAAAATTTCTGAAATGGTTCTAAACATACTTTTTTTTTTTGGTTTTTCGAGACAGGGTTTCTCTGTGTAGCTTTGCGCCTTTCCTGGAACTCACTTGGTAGTCCAGGCTGGCCTCGAACTCACAGAGATCCGCCTGGCTTTGCCTCCCAAGTGCTGGGATTAAAGGCGTGCGCCACCACTGCCCGGCTCTAAACATACTTTATATTAAGTATTTAGTGGCAATCTCAACAGTGATAAGGTAGAATCAAGATACTGATCAACTCAGAAATACTGAAGACACCATATGTCCCACAGTATAAAACACTCTGCCATTTAGTTCTTTATGTAAAAATAAGCATGCCCACTTTATTAGTATGCCAAGTTGCTTTTGTCTTTAATAAATAATAAGATTATATGTTGTCATAGTTTTGTCAACTTGACACAATCCTAGACATCTCTTGGAAAATGGAACCTCAACTGAGGAACTGCCACCATCAGACTGGCCTGTGGGTATGTCTGTGGGGCATTTTCTTAGTTGACGATTGATGTGAATGGGCCCAGCCCAGTGTTGGTGGCACTACCCCTGGACAGGAGGTCCTGGACTATATAACAAACTAAGTACATGGTAATCAAGCCAGTAAGCAGTATCCTTCCATGGCTTCTGCTTTGGTTCCTGCCTCCAGGGTCCTGCTCGAGTTCCTGCCCTGACTTCCCTTCATGACAGACTGTGATGTTCATGTGTAAGCCAAATGATCCTTTCTTCTTCCCCAAGATCAGTTGGGTCAGTGTTTTACTACAGTGACAGAGAAACAAAACAGGACAGAAATACCACCCAAGAATCATTTTTAAGTAACCTTATGATTTTTATTAGTACATGTTGTATTTATAGACCTATTTTTATGCACCTGTGTACCCAGAGACAGATAAAAATTTCTCACTTGGGGCTGGAGAGATGGCTCACTGGTTAAGAGCACTGACTGCTCTCCCAGAGGACCTGGGTTTGATTCTCAGCATCCACATGGCAGCTCACAATCATCTGTAACTCCAGTTCCAGAGGCTCTACCTCCCTCTTCTGGCCTCCTTGGGCTCCACGCACATGGTACACATACATACATTCAAGCAAAATGCTCCTACTCATAAAATAAAAATAAATCTTTTAAAATTTGTATTTAATTGCTCAGGCTTTTTGCTTTGTTTTGGCTTTGTTTTGGTTTGGTTTTTCTCTGTGTATCCCTGGATGTCCTGGAACTCACTCTGTAGACCAGGCTAGCCTCGAACTCACAGAGATCCGCCTGCCTCTGCCTTCTGAGTGCTGGGATTAAAGGTGTGCGCTTGTTAAAAGGGGCCGGGAATATAGCTTGGTGCTAGAGTGCTTGCCTGGTGAGTGGGAGGCTTTGTGTGTATGTGTGTGCATGCATGTGTGTTAAGAGTCTACAAGTGTGGACTTCAAGTCACTTTGGCTTTCACAGAATCCACTTCCCAGAACTGCCAGCTCAGGGAGCCACCCAGCTGATTGCCAGTGGCACTGTAGGAGTGTCCACTGGTGGTTGTCACCTGAATCATTAATCACTACGTGGCTTGAAAATCATAATTCATTTTCCTGTGGACCACAACAAACTCCCATAAGCTTAATTTCTGACTTGTAGTTCTGTGTATCAGTATGGCCGACTCTCTGGTCAGGACCTCCTATGGCTAAAAATAAGGTGCCCCTATGCTGGGTCCTCTTCCAAATGAACATGGTCATGGCTGAATTCAGAATCTTGCTGTGCCTGGCTGCTGGTTGGCTAAAGGCTGCTTGCATTCCTTACTTTGTGACTCCTTGCAGCTTTAAGACCCAAACAAGCAACTTTCTCTTGCATCCAGCCCTCAGGCCCCAAGCCTCTTTTGTCAATAAGACCAAGGCCCTTGTAAGAACTCATTTGGTTATTTTAGCCTTGTCTGAAGAATTCCTTCGTAGCAGGGAGCACTTAAGTAACTGAATGACTAGGAGGAGGTAGTATATTTGTGAGGGAGCAAGAATCTGAGGAGAACGCCCTCCCAAAAGGTGATTTCTGGTGCCAATTGCATTTTTAAAAAACTGTTCTGGGGGACTGAAGCCATTGAGCTATATCTACATTTAAGTGGTATTCCACTTTAAGACAGTTCTCCCAGACACACAACCAAGGGGGCATGTCTGCAGTCCTGGCACTTCAGAAGGCAGAGAATGGATCAGGAGAATCAGGAGATCAAAGTCATCCTTGGCTATGTAACGCATTCCAGGCCAGCCTTGACTGTATGTAATCCTTTCTCAAATGCTCATATTATAGGTGGCCACACCTCCTATGGTTCTTATTTATTTAGAAGCAAGATTTCACTATTAAGACCTGGCAGGCAGGGGCTGGAGAGATGACTCAGTGGTTCAAAGTATTGACTGCTTTTCCAGAAGACCAGAGTTCAATTCCCAGCACCCACAAGGCAGCTCACAACTGTCTGTAATTCCAATTCTAGGGGACCCAACACCCTCACACAGACATACATGCCAGTAAAACACCAGTGAACATAAAATAAAAATAATTAAATTATTAAAAGACCTGGCAGGGAGTCTTGAACTCACTGTGTAGACTAGGCTGGCCTCAAACTGATCCTCTTTTTATTTATTTATTTTGAGATAGGATCTCACTATGTAGTCCTAGAGCTTGCTGTGTAGACTATGCTGGCCTTGAACTTACAAAGATTCACCTGCCTCGGTCTCACAAGTGCTGTGATTAAAGATGTGCGCCACAACGCCCAACTAAATCTAGCTTTCTTCCAGACTTATCTACCTGCTCTTCAGAGGCCTCCCTTGCTCTATCCCTCAGCACTCTGCAGAAGAAAAAGACAAGACTCAAGTCTTCCCCACAACCAATCCTTAAAGGTGCAGGAGGAACAACCATCTCACAGCCTAGCTCCACCTTCCTAGGGCTGAGGTGCCTAAAAGCAGCGGGACCACGCCCACTTCTTGAGAGCAGCCAATCAGAACTAGAGGTGCTCTTAACTCCATTGTGAAGAATGGTCTTAGACTGTAGAGCTCTTAAGATTCTGAATAGAGCCCCGGGAGTGCAGTGGGATCTGGCTTTCTGTTTTCAAGACACCAGGATCTGTCTTTGCATGAAAAGATCATGGCTGCAGACCCAGGTCCCAAAGTTAGGGTGCCTCTAGACCGGCCACAGACTTCAGAGGAACTGGCATTTTATGCTCGGAGTCACACAGTCCTGACGATCTGTGCACTGCTTCTTTTCCCACCCTTTGGATTGTTAGCCATCTTCTTCGCCCAAAAGGTAAAACTATTGCCCAGACATTGCTCATCCTGTCCTGTGCTTACCACCTGTAACTGCTCCCGTGGTCTAGGGTCAGGCTCTCCCCACAGTTGCTGGAGGGCTCCAACCCTTCTTCCAAGATCCTCAAAAACCTATACCCATGCTCCCACTCTTACAGACCAAGGAGGCTAATCAGTACAGCGACTGGGAAGATGCTTATCTGAACTCAGCTCGAACTATTTGGATTGATGTAATTGGCATACTTGTGGGTTTAGGCATCATTTACTTTTGTGTCCTGTATGTGTGACCCAGCATCCTCGGGCTCACCCCCTACAGACAGACATGCCCACTTAAGACACCGACCAACCACCTAGAAGAAACTCAGTGCTCCAGATATCCCTTAGCCAAGAAACCCACCAACCTAAAACCCAAGCAACCTGCCAGGCCAAGAAATCCAAGGCCACCTGCCTGCACCACATCAGCTCACTGTCATTTGGCCTTCACAGCTGTCTCCATCCACCATGGAGGCCCACACTCAAGTCCTAAACCCGTGTAAGTCACTGAGCTGCTCTTTCCTGAAAAGAAAAAAAGAATCATATTTCTTAACCCAATAAAGTCGAAGGGAATATTCTGACTTCGCCTGTGTTTGTAGAAGTTTTTCTGGTCAATAATGGTTTCACTGGGGCTGAGTTTGCTTAGATCCAGTGAAAATAAGACTGCAATAATGGTACCAGACACTGTGGCACAAGCCTTTAATTCCAGAATTTGGAAGTAGAGGCAGGAGGATTAAAAATTCAAGACCAGCCTGAGCTACACAGTGAGTGAAAGACAGCCCTAGGATACATGAGACCCTGACTCAGACCAACGGAAACAAAACGATAAACAATGTCATAACGGGGAAGCCCAGAGCCATGGCAATGGGAATATATGGGTTTCCATCCTCTCACCGCGCGCCATGATACTGCATGTCCTGAGGGCTGGAGGAGATGGCTGAGGTGTCTAAAAACACTTGCTATGCAGTTCTGATTAGCAGAGTTCAGTCTGGATGCAGGGTAATCTCAGCACTCCTGTGGTAAGATGGGAGGTGGAGGCAGGCTGGAAGCTCGTGGACTAGCTGGCCTGGAGTACACTGCATGCTAGTAAAAACAAGAAAGATGTTGCCTCAACAAGGTGAAAGATGAGGACCAAATCTCAAAAGTTATCCTCCGACTTCCACACACAAATATTTTCAAAAATAAAAACACTTGCGCCGGGCGGTGGTGGCGCACGCCTTTAATCCCAGCACTCGGGAGGCAGAGCCAGGCGGATCTCTGTGAGTTCGAGGCCAGCCTGGACTACCAAGTGAGTTCCAGGAGAGGCGCAAAGCTACACAGAGAAACCCTGTCTCGAAAAACCAAAAAAAAAAAAAAAAAAAAAAAAAAAAAAAAAAAAAAAACACTTGCATGTCTTTGATTTCCTGAAGCTTTTTTCTTTGTAAAGCATACATACAAATTACTAAAGCAGGAGTACTTGTAGAAATCTGAATGAATTTTCACTCTCTGCATGACTTCCCTTTCAAGCTGAGGTGCTAGACTTCTGGTGTCTCAGAGCAGGAAAAGAAAACAGAAACCTTGACCAGTCATAGTGGCACACGCCTTTAATCCCAGCACTTGGGCAGAGGCAGGTGGAGCTCTGTGAGTTCGAGGCCAGCCAGGGCTACAGAGTGAGTTCCAGGACAGCTAGAGCTACATAGTGAGACCCTGTCTCAAAAACAAGAAAAGAGGGGGCTGGAGAGATGGCTCAGAGGTTAAGAGCACTGACTGCTCTTCCAGAGGTCCTGAGTTCAGTTCCCAGCGACCACATGGTGGCTCACAACCATCTGTAACGAGATCTGGTGCCCTCTTCTGGCCTGCAGGCACACATGCTGTATACATAATAAATAAATCTTTAAAAAAAAAAAAAGTTTATTAAAAAAAAAAAAAAAAAAAAACAAGAAAAGAATCCTGTAATCCCAGAATTTAGAAGGCAGAAGCAGAAGAACAGAGATTTCAAGGCCAGCCTGGGCTATATAAATGAGACCTTGTCTCAAACAGAAGACACACACACACACACACACACACACACACACACACACACACACACACACAAATCAAGAAAACAGGAACCTCTTCCATAGTTTGAAACCCCAACATCAAACCTGTAAGAGGCAAAGGGGAACATGTGAAAGAATAACAATGGATTTCATAGGGCTGGGGAATATAGCTGGTCTAGCATGCACGAAGTCTTGAGTTCAGTCCCCAGGACTGCATAAACTGAGTGTGGTTGGGAATACTTGTAATCCTGAAAGGGAAAAATCAGTAGCCATCTTGAGAGATGCTCCCCCTACAAAGGTATTTGCTGACCAGCAGTTTTAGAACTGACCAGAAGTTGAGCACATGGGAAGATAAGGCTGGAACAATGAATCTATATATCCTGGACTTGGCAAAACAGGACATGGGGAGTAATGGACTCAACTGACCAGAAGTTGACCTTATGGGAAAATAGGGCTGCGACAATAAATCTGAATGTATAAATCCTGGACTCAGCAAAAGCAGGACATAGGGAGTAAAAAAATTTGTCTCTGTACATACTCTGAATCCCATTAGCTATCAGTAACCTCATGCTTATAGTTCAGCCAGTAACTTCAAAGAACTACCTCACCTCTAGCCCTCTCGTCCAATCCCGAGATATGTAACCCTCTGCACGTAAACCTTTCCTATATAAACCCCTTGAAGTGAGTGTTGGACATGGACCAATCCTGGGCTTGCTTTGTTATTAATAAACCCCTTTGTGCTTGCATTGGGTATAAACCGCAGACAACAGTCCCACAGCCACTCAGACTCAACCAAGTAAACATAGAGACTTATATTGCTTACAAACTGTATGGCTGTGGCAGGCTTCTTGATAACTGTTCTTATAGCTTAAATTAATCCATTTCCATAAATCTATACCTTGCCACGTGGCTCGTGGCTTACCGGCGTCTTCACATGCTGCTTCTCATGGTGGCAGCTGGCAGTGACTCTCTGACTCAGCCTTCCACTTTCCAGAATTATTCTCCTCCTTGTCCCGCCTATACTTCCTCCTGCCTGACTACTGGCCAATCAGTGTTCTATTTACTAACCAATCAGAGCAATTTGACATACAGACCATCCCACAGCATAATCCTGTTCAGGGGGTTGTGGTTCCCTACCAAAAAGTCTAACCCAATGGTTTCAAATGTGGTTTCTCACCCAAAGTCTAGACCAATAGTTTCAAAAAATCACCTTGCCCCTTATCCCTTCTGCCCAATCCCAAGTTGCCAATTCCCAGCTTGTGGTTTTTCCCTATAAAAATTCTCTACACCTGGGCTCGTGGCCACTGCCACATTTCCTTCCATCTGCCATGTGGTCACCCAAGTTGAACCTGAATAAAAGGACCCTTATGTGCTTACATTGGGAACCAGCTCCTTCATGGTCTCTGGGGGTTTTGAGAAACAGGTACAATAGTCTGAGACCCTGTCTCAACACACACACATACACACACACACACACCATAGATAGATAGATAGATAGATAGATAGATAGATAGATAGATAGATATCAATAGATATAGATGGTAGGTAGGTAGGGAGGTAGGTAGGTAGATAGATAGGCTGGTAGGTAAGAAGGTAGATAGGTAGGTAGGTAGATAGATAATATTGTTTAAGAATACTTCCTGCTTTTGCAGAAGACCAAAGTTCAGTTCCCAGCACCCATGACGGTGGCTCATAACTGCTTGTAGCTCCAGCTGCAGGGGATCTAATGGCCTCTTCTGCTCTCCACTGACACCACACACAATTGGCATACACGCAGACACACATTCACACACAAATTTAAAAAAATAAAAATAAATATATAAAAAAATCTTGGGCTGGGCACTGTGGGGAGTGCTTTTAATCCCATCACTCAGGAGGCAGAGACATATGGATCTCTGAATTCTGGGCCAGCCTGATCTAACAGAGGGAGTTCCAGGACAGCCAAGGCTACACAGAGAAACCCTGTCTCAGGAATGTAGTAGAAATTCTAAACAGTCTTAGTAAATAAGAAACACAGAGCCAAATACAGAGTTAAAGCCTAAGAGATCAGAGCACCAGCGAAGCCCAAGACTCCCTTTAGCTTACCAGTTGCTGCCGTCCTTCCCCTGAGAGAGAGACCTTCTTCTGTGTGACCTGTCTTTTTATTGCCTTTCTGTTCTACCTTCTCATTGGCTCTAAACCCAGCCACATGATTTTCTCGTCACTGCCTGTCTATACAGACCTCCAGGTCTCTATGGTTTGTACTGGGATTAAAGGTTAGGGTCACCGCTTGGCTGTGTCCTTAACTACGAAGAGACTCTGCCTGCCATGTGATCAGATTAAGGGCGTGTGTCACCACCACCAGACTTCTGCTAAATGACTTGCTTTTAGCTCTGATCCCCAGCCAACTTTATTTATTAATATACAAATAAAATCACATTTCAGCACAAATAAAATATCACCATACAGGAGGGGGGAAAAGGAAAAAGAAGAGGAGGAGGCAGACCCCTTTGCACCTTCTGAGGTTAATTTTTCAGCCTCCACCCACTTTTGTACTATGAAGAAGGAAGCACAGGACTTGAGTCAGCTAAGGAGTCCCAACAGGAAAACAGATCAGCGCGATTTGACCAGGAGGTGAGCAACAGTGCCGCCTGTTGGTAGTTAGATGCAATGTCATCTCTTTTTTTTTTAACCTCACGTGTGTTGGGGTGTATGTCTTTGTACCGAATACATAAGTGTGCGCCTGCCTATGAGTGTTGGAGGTAAGAGGTCAGTATCTGCCTCTGTTGTTCTTCACCTTAGCTTTCTGAGACAAGGTGTCTCACTGAACCTGGAGCTTGCCATTTGGACTAGACTGGCCCAGTGGACTCCCAGGACCCACTTACTTCTGTGCCTTAGTGCTGAAGTTACAGAGAGACCATAGCCCTGGCTCTCTACATGACTTTGGGGACCCAAACTTACACTTGTGCAGCTAGAGGATTCAAGGCTAGCCTCAGCTACAAAGCAAGTGAGAACACAGCCTGGGCTACCCAAGACTTTCTCAAAAACAAAAACAAAGGAGGCAGGCAAGGGCGATGGTTCAGTAGGTAAAGTGTTTGGAGTTCAAGTGTGAAGACCTGAGTTCAAATCCCAGTACCCACAAGAAAGCTGAACACGGGAGTTCGTGCCTCAGGCTTCCACTGTGGACAGAGACAAACACACAGACACACATCCGTACACATAAGTATAAAAAAAAAATCTTTAAAAAGATAGTGGATTCTTTTTGAGTCCTTTCTCTTCTCCAAAGGATGGTGAAGGGGGCCCTCTTTATCAGCTAAGCCATCTATCTCCCAGACCTTTTTGTATTTGCTTTCTGTGACAGTATCTCAGGGAATCTGGTTGACCTTGAGTTCGTTAAGTAGCCGATACTGACCTCGAATTCCTGATCCTCCTGACTGCCTCCCAAGAGCTGGGATTTCAGGTGAGTTTGAAGCCATCCTGGGCTTTATGAAATCCTGCCTGGTAAAAATAAAAATAAAAACTAGAAATTTGGGATATAGCTCTATGGGTAGAGTGCTTGCCTAGACTTCAGAAAGCCCTGGGTTTGATCCCCAGCACCACACAGAGGCAGCAAGAGGATTATCTGCAGCTACATAGCAAATTGAAGGCTAGCCTGAGCTACATGAAAGAGATCACTGACCAGAGGTACTGGGGGTGGGAGGGATAAATGTCATGGCTGTGTGTGTGTGTGTGTGTGTGTGTGTGTGTGTGTGTGTGTGTGTGCAGGAATACACACACACACAGGCACCCTCAAGCACACTTAATGCAGCCTGAGACCCTGAGGCCCACATCACTCTTACTTCAAATGTCATTTCTAAGCTTCAAGGTGCCCAGAAGGAACCTGTAAATAAGCAAGGAACTTGAAGAGAAAGTCTATTTACAAACCTGTTTTCAAGGTGGAACCCAGAATTCTCAGGCTGACCAATAAGTAGCCAGGACTGAACTTCCATTATAGCAAGCATCCAATAGAAGCAGAAATCGGCCTGGGACTTCTTGTTGCCATAGAAATCGGCCTGGGACTTCTTGTTGCCATAGGAATCTCTATTGAGCTGCTTGTAGCCAAGAGCTTGCCTGGGCCAGGGGTGTCAGCTCCAGGTACCCACTGGGAATTTGTGAAGGTGGCAACAAGTAGGCCAGGGAGAATCAGGGGGGAAAAGGGAGGCAGACAGGGTATCCTGAGGCCCTGGAGAGAGTGTTGTTCACAGGGAGAAAAGGGTCACTGCAGGGAAGCTCCTCCAAAAGGACCAGGAAGGAGTTCAAAAGGAGGCGAAGGCTGCTGGAGAACTTAGGAGCACTGGCTGCTCTCCCAGAGGACCAGGATTCTACTCCCAGCACCCCATGGCAGCCCACAGCCATCAGTCACTGCAGTCAGGTGCTCAGATGTACCTGCAGACCAAACACCCATCACATAAAATAAGACCTAAAATTTTTGAAAGGTTAGGGAAAATGTGTTAGTTAGAAATGGGGAGCAGCTTTATCAGGAGACTTAAGAGGGTATAGGCAGACATAGGGGTGTCAGAGTTTATAGAAAGGATTAAAGGAGTCACGTGATGAGCTGGGGGAGGGGTTTATGGGTAAACAGCTAAGGACTAGGGAGGACCACAGAGGATTTGTAGGAGGAAGAGGTAGGGGATCTTTGAGAGAACTGTCTGTGGCCGAGTGTTTTAGAGGGGAGTGGAGAATTTCTAATGAAGGTTTTACAAAAGTGATCATGAGTTGTATTTGGTTTTGTTTTCTGTTTCATGCCTGTGTGTAAGTGAAAGACAGTGGTGCACGCATGCGCGCGCGCACACACACGTATGCGCACTCATGTGGAAACCGGAGGAAGACATTAGATGTCTTCCTGTGTAACTCTCCATCTTATTCAGGGTCTCTCACTGAACCAGAAGTTTGCCAATTTGGCTAGGCTAGCTGGCCAGTGAGCTCCCGGGATCCACTTGTCTTCACCTCCCTCCCCCACCCATGCTGGGTCACAAGCACCTGCAGGATTTGAACTCAGTTCCTCACGATTACACAGCAATGCCCTTACATATTGAACCATCTCCCCAGCCGTGTGTGTGCGCGCTCTCTCTCTCTCTCTCTCTCTCTCTCTCTCTCTCTCTCTCTCTCTCTCTCTCTCTCTCTCTCTCCCTCTCTCTCTCTCCCCCCCTCACCCCCCCATCACCCCCTGTTAGCATTCAAGTATTACCTAACCGGCACCTTGGGGACCTGGCCAATAAGCAGGCAGTACTTTGGCCTACTCAGGATCCTGACAACATCATCCCGCATAGCTCAGCTCATTTGTGCATTTGCTAAGTCCCCTCTAAGAGCAAACCCCTCCCCTTTTTCTCTCTCTCTTCCTCTCTCTTCCCACCCCCTTTTCTTCCCCCTTTCCCATCTCTTCTCTTCCTCTCCTCCTTCTTCCTCTTCTCTCAGCTCGTGTCCCCCTCACCACCACCCCAATAAACTTCCCATGTGAGCGCTGCCGCATGGCATGGGTGACTTTCAGCTGAGCCCCTAGGCCCCAAGCCGCCAAGGCTGCCCTTTTTAAATTATAACCCCCACTCTTTCTCCTTCCCTTTCTGAGACACAGTCTTACTGTATATCCCTGGCTGGAACCCCAAGAGATCCACCTATTTCTGCCTTCTGAGTGCTGGGATGAAAGACATGTGTTACCATGCTCAAAGAGTGTTAGCATTTAAGCATCTGTACTGCCCTCAGAGTCCTGACAGGATATATCCTCAGCTGCAGCCACTAAGAGCACCCCTGTGCGTATATAAAAGGAAGGCCTTGCCCACCTCCGTCTGTCTCTTTCTTCCCTCTCCTCCCCAGGGACCAGGGACTGGTCTCTGCCCCCTTCTCTCCACGTCTCTCCCTTCCCTCAGTAAACCTCCCACATGGGCCCTGTTGTGTGGTGTGACTCCTTCTTGCCGTTGGTGCTGTGACTCGGATGGGCTCTCCCAGCAGTCTGAGACGTGCGGGGACCCTGGAACCTGGGCCGCCTGCGACAGCCCTACTTTCCCACCTAACGGATCACTAGGACTCTCCATCCAACACCCATGACTGTTTTTGTGAGCTCAAGGGAGTCAACTTGGATCTACCTCAAACAACATCTTGCCAGGTCCAAGCGATGCCAGATGGTTCCACAGAGCCTGGACAGCGAAGTGAAACAGCCAGCTGCCCCAGGATGTGGCCAGCACCCTAGTTTTCTCAGGTCCCCAAAGATGATTGACACCCCTCAGGCCAGCAGGAAGCAGTCTGGAGAACAAGATGCCCTCATCCCCGCCTCACCTGCTACCCCTTTCTAACTCCTCACCTTGTTATAATGAACAAAAGGGAGGAATGTAGCCGGGGCGGCGGTGGCCCACGCCTTTAAGCCCAGTACTTGGGAGGCAGAGGCAGGCGGATCTCTGTGAGTTCGAGGCCAGCCTGGTCTACAGAGTGAGTTCCAGGAAAGGCACAAAGCCACACAGAGAAACCCTGTCTTGAAAAACCAAGGGCGGGGGTGGGGTGGAGGGGGAATGTTAGCATTCAGGCATCTGTACTGGCCTGCCCTTAGGGTCCTGACGGGATACACCTCACCGGCAGTCACTAAGAGCGCCCCCTGTGCACATTCGCTACTTACAAAAGGCGAGCCCATCTCCTGTCTCTCTCTTCCCTCTCCTCCTTCCTTCTCGTCCCCAGGGACCGGTCTCTGCCCCCTTCTCTGCCCCTTCTCTCCCCTCCCCTCAATAAACCTCCCACGTGGGCCCTGTTGTGTGGTGTGACTCCTTCCCGTCGTTTTAAAATACAACAGAGTCTTATTTTTAGAGGGGCAAAATAGAAGCTTGGGGGATGCTGACAGTGTGGGAAATAACGTGTTATAAGGCCAGTTGATGTTTTAGTGAGAAAAGTCATAGAGTCAAGGATGTAGGAGACCGTAGACGGGACAAAGAGTGAACCACTGAAGCAGTTACAAAGGGGGAAACAGAGAGAGGGGGTGTTTGGGGGCACAGGAGGGAGGCTACAGGCCAAGAGAGATTACAGAGTGTGGAAGGTGGGGAGTTCTGAGGGACAGGAAATTATGGCGAGTGATAAAAATTAGCCGGGACATCCTGGGAGTTGGAGCCAGTGAAAATATTCAAGGAAATCAGTGAAGATGCTAGAGGAGCCAAATAGAAATGTGTGTGGGTGAAAAAGAGAAGTACCAGAAGCTGCAGAGATGGCTCATTGTTTAAGAGCACTGGCTGCTCTTCCAGAGGTCCACACGTCAGGCAGCTCACAACTGTGACAGCCAAAGTTACATTTTAAGTTGTAATCCCAGTGCCCAATGAAACAAAAATGTCTCTAATCTGTAAGCCCCTTGCCTAAGGACAGTTTCTGAAATGCTGGAGGCTGTTGTTTATAGGACATAACAAGCCACATGTTTTCATTCCCCTAAACAAGTTTGTTTGACCCATCTGCACCGGATGTGCTTGACCACATGTGGGCAGAGGGTCACAGGATGGAGGTATATTAGGATGTATGCTTGCCCCGATTGGACCCGATGGGAAATTCAATGGATTATTGGTGTTCCTTCTTAAGCCTCTGCAAACTGTGATTCTGGGCCATTTCCTGGGAACCTGGGTCTGGACCTGGCCAGAGCCCATCCACCTGGCCAGTATTTAATTAAAGCTTGCTTCGAAGTTGGCTTCAGATGCCCTTGGACTCAGATGATTGTGAGCTGCCACATGAGTGTTGGGAATCAAACCAGGGTCCTCTGGGAGAGCAGCCAGTGCTCTGACCACTGCGCCCTCTCTCTGGAAGGGCTACAGTTAACCTGTCAGTCCCACTTGCACAAGAACAGATAATTTCCTGGCATGCTGGGGGCTGTTGTTGATGTAAGATAACAAATCATGAGTTTTCACATTAGTAAACAAGGTTGGTTGCTCCAACTACACAGGATGTGCTTGATCACATGTTAGGTGGGAGATCCGTAGGCAGGAAGTACATCAGGATGTATGCTTGCCCCTAATTGAACAACAGTGGGAAGTACATAGCCTTGTGGGTTTTTCCTTTATGAGCGACCAATTAACCTAATTCCGCACCATTCTCTGGGAATCCCAGGTATAGACTAGCCAGTGTCCATCTTCCTGGACAGTACTTAATAAAGCTTGCTCTAACTGGATAATCATTTGGTGTCTTTCTCCTTGCACTTTTCAGGTTTACCACTCTCCAGCCCCCAAATCTTTTCTTAGAGAGGTAAGTAAGAATGAATGAAAAAAAAAAAAAGAATGAATGGCAAATTCAAAACCCGTGCTCAGGCCGGGCGGTGGTGGCGCACGCCTTTAATCCCAGCACTCGGGAGGCAGAGCCAGGCGGATCTCTGTGAGTTCGAGACCAGCCTGGTCTCCAAAGCGAGTTCCAGGAAAGGTACAAAGCTACACAGAGAAACCCTGTCTCGAAAAACCAAAAAAAAAAAAAAAAAAAAAAAAAAACCCGTGCTCAGACCTGAGGCCCTCTCTGTCTCCAGGTGTTTGAACTTATGCCTGCCAAAGAAGATAGCCAGAGTGACGAGGAAAGTGGGGCTCGAAGCATCCAGGATACCCCGGAGTACCAATACCCAGTTGTGTTGGCCCTCTGCTGCTTCCTTCCACTGGGCTTCTTTGCCTTATTCTTCTCTCACAAGGTGGTGATCTATACCAACCCTTCATCCCTCTCCACTCTGACTCCCCCTGCTTCCTAGATTCAGATCCCACACCCCATGTTGGGTCCTTTCAGCTCCCCACTTCACCCTCTATTTCAGCACCTTTTAAAAAAAAAAAAAAAAAAGATTTAGCTGGGTGGTGGTGGCACACACCTTTAATCCCAGCACTCAGGAGGCAGAGGCAGGTGAACCTCTGTGAGTTCCAGGTCAGCCTGGGCTACAGAGTGAGTTCCAGGACAGCCAGGACTGTTAAACAGAGAAACCCTGTCTCGAAAAAAAAAAAAAAAATTTATCATGTGCATTATGTGTTTGTTTGTACGTGTGAATGTTTAGCACCTTTGGAGTCCAGAAGAAGGTGTCCTGGAGCTGGAGGTTCAGGTAGCTGTGAGCCCCTGACATGGGTGCTGGGAACTGAACTCAGGACTTCTGTCAGAGCATTTGGGCTCTTAAACACCAAGCCATCTCTCCAGCCCCTGTCTGAGAATCCTTTAAAGCACATCTTTCCCCTTTTTTCCTCTCCCCCGGAACTCAGACAAGAGTCTACAAGGAAGAGAACGAATATGAAAAGGCACAAGTTGCCTCGGATCGCACCTTCGTTTTGGCCTTGACCTCCATCATTGTAGGAATCTTCATTCTTCTCTTCTTTTTTTACCGACTCTTCTTCATTTAACCTGTCACAGCACACGGACAAACCATCGGATACGTACAACCGCGCCACTTAACCTCGCCAGGACACCTTCTCTTTAATGTCTGGAGCGCCCAGCTGTTTGAGATCAGAAATAAAAACAGCAATAATATCGTACTGTTCCTGGAGTTTGTACACTGCACTGCCCAACACTTCAGATGTCAGACTCGACGGCAGACGCCAACTGGACATCCTCAAACTGCATTCAATTCTGACACTCTTTACCTGCAACACACAAGTCTTTGTGGACTCTGCTTATGCCAGATGGAGAGCCAGATGAAGGCAAGGATGAGCCATGCCTGGGCTGGAGGGCGTGGGCGGGCATCAGGACACCCAGTGGAGGAGCTCTGGTCCTGGATTTGGTGGTGTGACCAACAGGTACTGCTCTTGGAGCTGCCTTTTTTTTTTTTTTCCTTTGATTGCAAATTTAATTGTCAGGAAAATAAGGCCTTTTCCCTTGAGGCAGCTCACAGGCCCTGGGTCACGTTTGTTTGTTTTGTTTTTCAAGACAGGATTTCTCTGTGTAACAGATCTGGCTGTTCTGGAACTCTCTCTTTGTAGACCAGGCTGGCCTCGAACTCACAGAAATCTACCTGCCTCTGGGATTAAAGGCATGTGCCACCACACCCAGCCCTGGGTCACTTTTGGTTTAGTGAGTATATGAGCCACATTTCCTTACATCTTTACATGTATGTGTTTTTACTGATGCCAAAGAATTTTACTTTTTTTGTGGGGAGGAGATTGGTTCTTCCAGACAAGGTTTCTCTATGTAGCTCTCTGACTGTTCTGGAACTCACTATGTAGACCAGGCTGGCCTCGAAATCAGAGATTCACCTGCTTCTGCCTCCCAAGTGCTGGGATTAAAGGAGAATATTACTTTTACCTTGTTAGATTCTGGATCTTTTGATTTCTATAAATATTCTTGAACTTCTTGCTGGAGAACAGTTCAGCCTGACGCCTCCAGGTCTTGTCTCTAGTCCTTTCCAGTCAGCTTTATTATTTAATTATTTATTATTATTATTTATGAGAATTATTTCATCAAGGACTAATCTTACCCAGCCCTCTGTTAAATCTCAAACCCAGAACAAATGGCTGAGGTCCCTATTTAACATTACCAAATTGGACCTGGCGGCGAGGTTCTCCCAGCATCCCTCAGTCCCTAGCTGTTACAGGGTATGGCTGGTATACTCCACCCTCTATCCCAACTCTCCAGCCCAGGGGCTGCCCTTCCCCCAGAGGCTCTTCCGTATATAGTCCAGACATTTTGGTTACCTGCCCCATTTTGTACCTTTGGTCCTCCTGGCTGCTGCACCTGGGTCCCTCTCTCCCCTTCCCCCTCCCTCTCCCCACATTCCCCTGTAGGCAGATTTTTCTTTGTGCTGCCAGCTCACAAAAGAATGATACGGAGACTTATTATTAATCATGAAAGCTCAGCTTTAGCTTAGGCTTGTTCCTAACTAGTTCTTACGACTTAAATTAGCCCATATCTTTCAATCTATGTTCTTTTCCGTGGCTCAGTTACCTTTACTCTGCCCATCCTGCTTCCTCTCCATGTGTTTGGCAACTCTGTCTTCTTCTCCCAGAGCTCTCTGTCTGGAAGTCCCGCCTACACCTTCTGCCTTAGCTATTGGCTGTTCAGCTCTTTATTAAGCCAATCACAGTGACACATCTTCACACAGTGGAAAGGAATATTCCACAACATGGCGCAGCTCAGGGTCATGTCCACTCTGGACTCTCCCAGATGTCCCCTGCCTCTGACTATGTTCTCACTTTATCTATAATAAACTGTCCTCCACCACACCTAGGAGCAGTCATGATCTTTCCTTTGTATTTCTTTTTTTCATTCACCTCTACTCAGTGCCCACTGGAGGAGTTTTTCCCACTTTGGCTGGTAGAACCTCTTAGCCCTCCATGGACTTCAGATAGTTCCAGACTGATCCCTCACCTTGGGTGTTTTCAGTCTTTTGCTCTTTGTTCTTTGGGGAGGCCCGACACCCAGCTCCCAAATAAATCACACATGGAGGCTTATTCTTAATTATAAATGCCCAGACTTAGCTTAGCTTTTTTCTAGCCAGCTTTTCTTAACTTAAATTATCCCATCTACCTTTTGCCTCTGGGCTTTTTCGTTGTCTTCTGTATATCTTACTTTCACTCTTACTCCATGGCTGGCTGGGTGGCTGGGTGGCTGGCTGGGTGGCTGGGTGGCTGGTCCCCAGCATCCTCCTCTCCTTGTTCTCTGGCTCTTTCTTCTTTTCCTCCCAGATTTCTCCTTCTATCTATTCTCTCTGCCTGCCAGCCCCGCCGATCCTTTCTCCTGCCTCACTATTGGCCATTCAGCTCTTTATTAGACTATCAGGTGTCTTAGACAGGCAAAGCAACACAGCTTCACAGAGTTAAACAAATGCAACATAAAAGAATGCAACACATCTTTGCATCATTAAAAAAAATTTTCCACAGCATAAACAAATGTAACACATCTTCAAATAGTATTCCACAACACCTGGGCTGGCTTCCTCATGTGTATCCTGTGTCAGCATGCACTCCTCTCACGGCAGATCCTCTGCAGACTTCTAGGTTCTCTCCCTGTCTTGTGTCCTTTTGTCTGATGAATTCTAGCTGCCTTAGCTAGAATTCTCTACAGCCCTAGCTCTTTATCCTCAGCTTGGCAGAGACTGTGGGCTCTGCTGCGTTCCCTCCTGGAGGGGGGTGTTGATTTGAAGGAAAATGGTCCCCAAAGGGAGAGGCACTATTAGGTGGTGTGACCTTGTTGGAGTAGGTGTGGTCTTGTTGGAGGAAGTGTGTCACTGTGGGGGTGGGTACCTATGCTCAAGCTACTCCCAGTAAGACAGACCACTTCCTGTTGCCTGCAAGATGTAGGACTCTCAGCTACTTCTCCAGCACCATGTCCCACCATGATGATAATGGACTGAACCTCTGAACTATAAGCCACCACCCCAATTAAATGTTTTCCTTTATAAGAGTTGCCGTGGTCCTGGTGTCTCTTCACAGCAATAGAAACCCTAAGACGGGGGCTGTGGGCTCTGCTGCATTCCCTCCTCACACAAACACTTGGGATCTCCTTCCAGGCAGTAAGCTAGGACAATTTTAGGGCTCATCTACTCTCCTTTCTCTTGTACATTACTGCTGTAGGATAATCCTCTTGTATACTGTAAAGATTTGTTGCTCAAATTGGTTTAATAAAATGCTGATTGGCCAGTAGCCAGGCAGGAAGTATAGGCAGGACAACCAAACTAAGAATGCTGGGAAGAGGAAGGGTGGAGTTGGGAGTCACCAGCCAGATGCAGAGGAAGCAAGATGAGAAGAATGTCATACTGGGAAGCTACCAAGCCATGTGGCTAAACATAGATAAGAATTATGGGTTAATTTAAGTGTAAGAGCTAGTTAGTAATAAGCCTGAGCTACTGGCTGAGCATTTATAAGTAATATTAAGCCTCAGAGTCAATTATTTAAGAAGTAGCTGCTGGGTACTTGGGAAGAGGCAGGTGGGAGAGAAACTTTCACCTACACATTACTGCCCTTCCTTGTCTGCTATCCAGTGTTTCGAGGCAATTGTTCTATGGTGTATGTGTGGGGGTGCAGTAGAGAAACTGCCAACATGACCACTTCATAATACGGTTGAGGTTTTTATTGTAGATATGAGGGAGAGAACAGCCAGAGGCATCTGGTAGAGTCCAGAGCAGAGAGAGAAAGAAGTAAACTCAACATGGCCAGCAGACTGGACTGCCCGGGGCTAGGGAAACAGGAGAGTGGGCGAGAATCATGAAGATAGCGAGACAGCAAGAAGTAGAGGAGGAGAGAGAGAGAGAGAGAGAGAGAGAGAGAGAGAGAGAGAGAGAGAGAATTGGAGCAAGTGTATATGGGAGAGTAAATGGATAGCAAGAGACACAAAGAAAAAGAGAGTAAGTGAGAAAGAACAGTGAGAACAGCAGGGTTATAGGGAGAATGAGCAGCTGGAGGAGGGAAGCCTGCAAGCTGGAGGGAGGGAAGCCTGCGAGCTGGAGGAGGGAAGCCTGCGAGCTGGAGGAGGGAAGCCTGCGAGCTGGAGGAGGGAAGCCTGCGAGCTGGAGGAGGGAAGCCTGCGAGCTGGAGGAGGAGGGAAGCCTGCGAGCTGGAGGAGGAGGGAAGCCTGCGAGCTGGAGGAGGAGGGAAGCCTGCGAGCTGGAGGAGGAGGGAAGCCTGCGCGCTGGAGGGAGCTTACAGCAGGGAGGAGGTAAGAAGGCTAAGATACTAGCATGGGCTTTGAAATGTGTAACAGATGCTTGTGATACTGAGGGAGCCTGGAGGCCAGCATGGGCTTTGATAAGCAGCCACAGGTATGTGCCAATGGAGCCATATATCCCTCTGCAAGGAGGCAAGGGAAATGATTCCTTTTGGCAGATGGGAACCAGTCTCATAAGTTCCTGAGGCTGGCTTCTATCTAACTGCCAGAAATCCTCCTGTAGTCCAGTTTGAGCTCATTTTTGGATATTTGGACAGTCTGAGACTTAACACATATATTTTGTCCCATTGAAGAAAAGAGTGTTGGGGGCTGGATGTGGTGGAACACACCTTGATCCTATTGATCTGATAGCAGAGGCAGTTGGATGTCTGTGAGTTCAAAGCCAACCTGGTCTACATAGTTCCAGGCCAGCCATAGTGAAACTCTGTGTCTGAAAGTGTACAGTTAAGCAGGGCAATAGTGGCACACGCCTTTAATCCCAGGCTTTGAGGCAGAGGAAGGCAGATCTCTGTGAGGTCGAGGCCAACTTGGTCTACAAAGCAAGTTCCAGATCAACCATGGCTACACAGAGAAACCATGTCTCAAAAACAAAAACAAACAAACAAAAGCCAGGTAGTGCACACCTTTAGCCCCAGCACTCTGAAGGCAGAGGTGGGAAGATCTTTGTGAGTTCAAGGCCAGCATGGTCCACAAAGTGAGTTCCAAGACAGCCAGGGCTACATAAAGAAACCCTGTCTTGAAATCCACCCCCCCCAAAAAGTGTACAGTTAAAAACTTTGGACAATATAATCTGGTTTCTATTCCTCCATCTTAGCTAGAAGTGGAAGTGGCCATTAATTTCATCAGTCTTTACTAGCTGATTTAAACTGGTTTCTGTCATGAACTTCTATTTAGGTGATTTATGAAATGTTTAAAAACTTTTATCAAGGCTGGGCGGTGGTGGCACACATATTTAATCCCAGCACTGGGGAGGCACAGGCAGGCAGATCTCTGTGAGTTCGAGGCCAGCCTGGTCTACAAAGTGAGTTCCAGGAAAGGCGCAAAACTACACAGAGAAACCCTGTCTCGGAAGAAAGAAAGAAAGAGAGGGAGGGAAGGAGGGAGGGAGGGAGGGAAAAAGAAAGAAAGAAAGAAAGAAAGAAAGAAAGAAAGAAAGAAAGAAAGAAAGAAAGAAAGAAAGAAAGAAAGAAAGAAAGAAAGAAAGAAAGAAAGAAAGAAAGAAAGAAAGAAAGAAAGAAAGAAAGAAAAAGAAAAGAAAGAAAAACACTGGCTCCTCTTCCAGAGAATCTCGATTTGATTCCCCTAACCCACTTGGCAGCTCACAACCGGCTCTTAACTCCAATTTCACGGAATCTGATGCCCTCTTCTGGCCTACGCAAGTACTGCATGCAGGCAAAAAAGCAATGCTCATAAAATAAAATAAAACATATCTTAAAGTATATGTAAAAGTAAGTTAAATTAAAAATTAATAAAATAATCAATAAGTCCATTGTCTCTCCTCATTTGGTTCTCAGTGAATGAAAATGAAAACATGGCCGCTCCTGGGTATGGTTGAGAAGAGTTTTATTACAGATAAGAGGGAGAGAACAGCCAGAAGAGACATCTAGAAGAGTTCAGACTGAACATGGCCAGCAAAATAGACTGGGCCATGAGAGGAGGTGGGGGAGGAGAGCGAGAGAGGAAGAGAAGAGAGGAAAGAGGGGGCCAAAAGGACCCAGAGAGCGCATGGAAACCAAGAGGGCGAGTACCCCAAATGGCTGAGTTAGGGAGGAGGGAAGTGAAACTCAGGGGCTGGAGAGGTCTAGGGTAGGGGACGGGATATGCCAGCCAGGATGACTCTGTAGCGGGTACTTGTGAGTAGAGACTGAGAGAGCCTAGAGGCTAGCATAGATCCTGGCATGATAATAAGCGCCACAGGCATAGGTTAATGGAAGAGCCAAACGTCCCTTTTTGCCAAAGATTAGGAGAATGACTCCTTTTAGCAAGTAGGAGCTACCTTTTTAAGTCCCCGAGGGAATGTGGGCTTTTGTCTACACGCCAGACTTTGAGAGAAGGGAATTCTTGGAACCTGACACTCATCCTCTTCGCGTGCAGGTCCATTTTTCAAGAAAATAAAGTGAAGCCTTCAGGACCTTTTGCCTCTTACAGTGAGTGAAAGAAGAAAAGAGAGCAAGCGGGCGTCTGCACCTCCACCGGTCCTTTTCATTTTCGCTCACTGGAAGCCGCACTCGAGCTTGAAGAGCCGCTATGAAAAGCCGCCTTGCTCCAAGACCTGGAAGCAAGGACCAGCCGCCGGCTCGGCAGCCGGGCACGTCTCGGCGTCGCGCTCGTGACGTCATGTGTGGGCGCCAGCGTCGGAGAGCGTGCGGGAAGCAGGGACTGCCGCCGAGCTCTCTGACAGCCATGGAACTAACGCAGAAAGCGCGGGAACTTAGTTGCTGGGCTGCCGAAAAGATGGAGGTGCCCCACGCGGCCCGGCCCCCGGAGTCGACGCTGCGCAGGTGAGGCCGCTCCTGGAGTAAGGACTCCACAACCTGGAATTAGCCTCCAGGAGTGAGATCCCCAGCCCTCGTGAGGATGAGACAGCGCCCCACCCAGAGCGGTCTCTCCCAAAAAAGAATCTTGGAGTTGAGTGAGGAGCCCAGGTGGTGACGCCTGGGACGCCGTACAAAGCAGGATCCCTGGCACCTGTCATCATAGTCCAAGCGTTAATGGAGCCCCTCTCCACCCACAGTGTGAAAATAGGACCTGCAGAGTAAGGCGGCCCCGGCAACACCTCCCCTTTGCCACTCTGCCCTAAGCGAAGATGACACTAGGTGGTTAGCAATAGCCGTCCTATTGGGGACCGAATCAGGAGGAGCAATGACCATGACCCTGTTAGGAAAGATCATTCCCTGAGTGTAGACCTCTTCTAACCCTCTCCTAGAAGAAAGAGAACCCCACTGTGGAATGAGAATCCCCTCTCAGTGACACCCCCACCCCAGGAGCACTGGCCTCTCTTCCCAGAAGTAGAAACTCTTGGGACTTTCCACCACCATACCTGTGGGAATGGTGGAGGCTCCTCCTCCTGGGTGATGCCCCAAGCATACCTTCTGCTGTATCTCTGCAGGCTGTGTCTGGGTCAGGGGGCTGACATCTGGGCCTACATCGTGCAGCATGTGCACAGTCAAAGGTAAACCAAGCTAGTTGGAGGGGTCAGGGAGGGGGAAAGGCATAGGCAAGGCCCTCAGCAACTCCTCACCCTCCGTCTTTCCAATGCAGGAGTATCAAGACGATCCGGGGAAACCTCCTCTGGTAACTGCTTCTCAAAGTCATCCCTGTCTTCCCCAATCCTGTCGCCATGCTCATCCACAGCCTCTGCTTCCTGCCTTCTTCCCTGGCAGCCCCGACCACCTAACTCTCCTCTCATTTCTTTAGGTACGGCCATCAGGACAATCCAAAGGTGAGAAGCCCGTGCTGTAAGATTCTCTTTCAACCAGAAAAGAGCTTGCAAATATTTGCTCTAGGCTGGATTTGTCAGGGACACTGTGTCACAAAACAGCCCAGATCTTTGTGCTCCCAGAGGCTGTAGTCCAGGGGGAGCCTGGCTGAGTAGGGTAGGGAGCGACGGAACATAGACATGGGGCACAAGTGTTGGCAAGAGGAGGGCACTGAGCTGAGACCTGTAGCCTCAGCACTCAGGAGAAGGCAGAAGGATCACTGTGAGCCTAAGGCCAGCCTGGGATGTGTTATATTTGTTTATGCTGTGAAATATTTGTTTAATGATGCAAAGATGGTGGTGGTGGCACACGCCTTTCCCAGCACTTGGGAGGCAGAGGCAGGCAGATCTCTGTGAGTTTGAGGCTAGCCTGGTTTACAAAGTGAGTTCTAGGACAGGCACCAAAGCTATACAGAGAAACTCTCTCAAAAAAAAAAATGCAAAGATGTGTTACATTTGTTTGATTAAATAAAATTAACCTGCAGTCAGGAGGTTGACAGCTACTTGTTATTCAGCCTCCCTGAGCGAGCAGAATTTCACCTCAACCTTTGAATCCTGAGTTCTGTAGAGGGATAGAAGAGATCTAGATAAGATCCCTTTAGTGGCCGTGATGGAGCCGGTGCCTGAGGGGACAGAATTCCCACCTGACTACGGCTGCACTGGCCAAACTGCTGCGGGGTTGCAACTGCCCGATTAGGACCCCAGTTGCTTAAGGGGCAGCTACTGAATTTAATGAAAAACAGCACTGGAGAAAGGACAGCTTTGGGAGCCACTAAGGGACACAGAAAGAGGTCAAGACTAGGAGGACACTAGAGAGGTGGCTCAATAGTTAAGGGGACCCCAGTTCAGATCCAGCATCCAGAGCAGATGGCTAACCATCTGTGCAGAGCAGATGGCTAACCAACTGTGATTTCAGCTCTAGAGGATTCAACACCTGGCCTCCACTGGCACCTGTATGCATGTGATGCACACACACACACACACACACACACACATTTTTTTAAAGACTAAGACAGAAGCTTGGTGTGGTGGTACTTGCCTTTTATCCCAGTACTTGGAAGCTGAAGCAGGACTGTGAGGTTTAACTGAGCTAGTTACATAGCAAAACCCTGTCTCAATAAAAATAAAAAATTAGAAAAGGCCTCTGGCAGAGATGTGGGAGTCCCACACACAAAACCAGGAAGATGGTGAGGGAATCAGTCCCAGGAGGGAGAGAGCCAGATAGACTCTCCCAGGAGCTGATCCTAATGCCACCCAGAAGGGGGTCCAGCCAGGCTGAGCCTCAGTGAGTCCAAGCATTAGCCTTCTGACACTGTACTGATCCCATCAGGTCCGTCAGAAGTTGGAGTTGGAAGCCACTGTGGCCCGCCTGCGTGCAGAGATCCAAGGGCTAGACCAGAGTCTGGAGCTGATGGATCAAGAGACTGAAGCTCAGGGTGACTCGTGGGGCCAGCCCAAGGGGCAATGAGACCCCGGATGAGGGAGGTGCTGACAGTCTCCCTTGTTCCTCCCACAGACATGGCCGTGGCACAGACACTGCAGAGCCTGAAAGATACCCAGCATCGAACTCTTCTCCTCCAGGCCCAAGCCAGGGCTGTACGAAGACAGCAACGTGGACTGCAAGATCCCATGCAGAGGCTGCAGAATCAGCTCAGGCGCCTGCAGGACATGCAGAGGTGGGGTTCAGCCTCCCCAGGGAGTTTAGCCATTCTCCTCAGAGACCCCGGTGCTCTGCCTGGTCCCTTCCTGCTTCCAGCTGTAACGTAAGGGCCATCAGGACAAGGAGTTCTATTATCTTGGGCACTCGGATTTATGGTACCCACTAGATATCTAGGCCACTGGCTTTGAGGGAACAACCGAATACACAGCATAGGTCCCACCCTCCTGTAGCTGATGGCCTCCTGCATAGAAGGCAGATGGTAACCAAGGAAATATCTCATAGTTTCAGGTAGATCCCTCAGGAGATAAATTCTGGGAAGGATCGTATGATGAAGGGGGAGGAGTCTCCATAGCAAGCTTAGAGGCCAGAGCTCAGCTTGGGTGGACAGCCAGGAGTAGCCCTCGCCTAGCTGGCCAGGGGGACATATGAGGAGGCCGAGTGGGAGAGGTGGGCAAAGCCATGGGGACACTGCAGTTTCTCTCTGAAACACCAGATGCCCTGGCTTGGCTACTTAGAACTGCATGATCTTGGGCGAAGTATTCTTTGTTCCTAAGATCTATGGAATGGTGCTAATGTTCAGCCTCTCTAGTTAGTATAAGAATTAGGTGAATCCAATTCATGGAAAGTGCTCAGATGTCTGCCAGCTGTTCTGAGTGTGATAGAAAAGTGTCATGACACTCCTTAGGTCTCATGGGGGTATTTTGTTTTTTTAAGAGTACATGTTTTTGTTTTTCTTTTATTTTATGTATGTGGGTGTTTTGCTGGCATGTAAGTCTGTGCACCATGCATATGCCTGGTGCCCTCAGAAGCCAGAAGAGGGCATTGGCTCCCCTGGAACTGAAAGCTGCCACGTGGGTGCTGGGAATCAAACCCAAGTCCTCTGGAAAAGTAGAAGGCCTTACCTCTGACCCATCTCTTCCTCCCATGTAGCTGTTTGCTATAGTGGTACTCAGCATTAAACCTCAGGCCTCACATGTCCTAAACAAGTGCTTTACTACTGAGCCACACCCCTTACATTTTGTTTGTTTGTTTTTTGTTTTAGATAGGGTCTATGTAGACCAGGCTGGCCCCAAAGTGACAATGAACCGTCTGCCTCTGTCTCCCAAGTGCTGGGATTAAAGGTGTGCACCACCACGCCCACCCCTTGCCCCTTTGCTTGTTTGAAGATATATTGATTGTTTTTGCTTATGCCTGTGTGAGTTTCTGTGCACCACATGCATGCTGGTGCCCATGGAAGCCAGAAGACATGAGATCGCCTGGAGCTGGAGTTACAGGCAGTTGTGAGCCACTGAATATGAGTGCTGGGAACCAAACCCAGGTCCTGTGCAAGAGCAATGTGTGTTCTTCACCACAGAGCCATCTCTCCGAGCCCCAACTTGCCTTTTTTTTACTTTGTATAAAATTTGAGACAAAGTCTTACTAAGTTACCTAGACTGGCCTTCAATTTGCTTTGTAATCACAGCAGCTGTGCTGGCCTCCCACGGTACTGTGTAGCCCAAGGAGCTGAAGAGATGTCTCAGCGGTGAAGAGCACTGCTTGCTCTTTCAGAGGACCTGGGTTCAATTCCCAGCACCCACTGGCAGCTCACCGTGTAGCCCAGGTTGACTTCAGACTTTCAGTGATCTTCCTGTCTCAACTGCCTGAGTGCTGGAATCTAGTGTTTCTCAACCTGTGGGTTGCAACTCCCCTGCGCTGGCAGACCCTTTCATGGCGGTCACCTCTTAGGACAATTGGAAAACACAGATATTTACATTGATTCATAACAGTAGCAAAATGACAGTTATGAAGTAGCAACAAAATATTTTATGGTCAGGGGTCAGCACAACATGAGGAGCTGTATTAAAAGGTCACAGCACTAGGAAGGTTGAGAACCACTGGCTAGAATCTCAGGCATGAGCCACTGTGCCTGACTTTCCCCAGATTTTAATAGGGTTGCTGACCACTGTCAGACCAGAGAGGACAGGAAGAGGTGGACCATAGACCAATGAGGAGTCTAATGTCGGAGATGACAGTAGCCAAGAGACAGCCCATGAGGGCCAGGCAGGGGGGGGGGGCACATCTGCTCTCCCTAGAACCCCATTCCAGTTACACTCTTCCTTCCAGGAAAGCCAAAGTGGATGTGACCTTTGGACCTCTGGTGTCAGCAGCCCCAGCCCTAGAGCCTGAGGTGTTGGTGAGAGCCCTGGGCTGTGCAGGGGCTATGAGGAGTCAGGGATCAAGCAGAGGCCTGGAACCCACTTAGGCCCCATCCTCTTGCCCCTAGCGTGATGTCCGGACAGCCTGCTCCCTTCGGACTCAGTTCCTGCAGAACCTTCTCATTCCTCAGGCCAGGGGAAGCAGCATCCCGTGAGTGTTCACAGGCTCCAGGAGCCTGGGAAGGCCCTGGGCGTGAGGGGCAGGAGATGGCTGGTTTATAAATTACTCAAGACTGGATTTCTGGGTTATGTCCTGTGTGAGCTCCAAGGGTGGGATGAGGAAGCAACAGCCAGGTGATCAGGGCTGTTTGAGGTAGGGAGGCCGGAGGCTATAGGACCCAGAGGAGGCCCTTACCCAGCTGGGAGTGGGGAGGGGAGGGACTCTGGTGAGGAGACTTAATTAGGGTGAAGGATCAAGAACTAACAGAACTTGTAATGGCTCCCAGGACAGCAAGTTCAGATAATGGGGGGACTCAAGCCTAATAAGCACATATGGACTCAATTTCCTTATCCATCCAGTGGAGACAATGATAGCTCCTACTTACATGTAGTGGTGATAGAGGGTAACTGATGTATCCTACAACATTCCTTGTCCCCTCACCCAAATCCACAGAAGCCCTCGTGAGGACCACTTCGGAAGTTCCCATCAGCAGTGGCTAAGCTCCGTTGAGGTAAGAGGGCAGGGCTCTCAGGGAAGGCTACTTCCTCCTGCTCCATGAGGAAATTTCCAGTTGCCAACCCCCACTCGTCTAGCCATAAGTCATCTCCCTGATTTCCCCCTTGTCCCTACCAGACACTGCTGACAAACCACCCTGCCGGCCACATCCTGGCTGCCTTGACGTACCTGGCTGCCGAGCGGGAGACAGAGCTCTGGTCCCGGTGTGGTGGGGATGGGCTCAAAGAAGAGGTGATGTCCAGGTGGGCGGTGAAGGTTGTTATAGCTAGGAGCAGGCCGCAGCCTGCGATTGGGGTGGGACTGAATGCCAGCCTATAGCAGGGGAGGAGAAGACTGATACTGACTATGACACTCATCGAGACAAAAATAAAGGACTCTTCCCTCAGCTGTTCTGTCCCTGCCCCAGGCCCCAGGCACCAGACCCATCAAACTCCATCCAGGCCCTGCCATCCTCCGTTCATCTCATCCAGGTAACCCTGAGACACTTTCCTAAACCCACTGAACGCCTCTGCCCATGGACCATGCCCACACAGCCTTTGTACCCCCAGGAAGGCTGGCAGGCCGTAGGTACACTAGTTACCCAGAGGAGTGCCCTCCTGGGTGAGCGACAAGTCCTGACTGGCCGCCTCCAGAGCCTAGTGGAGGAGGTGGAGAGGCACGCTCTGGGATCCAGTGAGAGGTAAAGAGGCTCCCTCAGGGGTGGCCCTCTCCCAGGAGGCTGGGGATACTGGATGTTGTCCACCCTGGGGCCCCCCTCATTTCCTCCCCATCCTGGCACTTGTTTCCTGTGTTTGGGGTTCCTCGTGCCTCCCTGAAGATCTCATCTCCCCAGTGTGGCTGCCAGTCTCCTTGCTTTCTTTCAATTTCTCGCCACGCCCCAGGAAAATGCTGCTGCTGGGACTTAGGTGCAGTGGCCTGTGGGCAGAGCTCAAAGCTCTTCATGCCCAGAGCCAGGAACTGGGGGACGCGGTTGGGCACCGGCAACTTCTGCTTCGGGAGCTGCTGGCCAAGCAGCAGCGGATCCTGCAGTGGCGTCAGCTGGTGGTGAGATCCTGGGCCTGTAGCAGGGTCAGAGTGGAGGTGTAAGGCCTAGAGAACAAGAACTGGGCCTCCAGAGCTCAGTGCTAAGAGTTCTGGCTGCAGTGGTTGGTGGTGGCGCACACCTTTAATCTCAGCACTCCAGAGGCAGAGGCAGAGGATCTCTGTGAGTTTGAGGCCAGCCTGGTCTACAGAGCTACTTCTAGGACAGCCAAGGCTACACAAAGAAACCCTATCTTGAAAAAAAGAATACTAGATGTTCTTCCAGAGAACCTGGGTTCAATGCCTACATGGCAGCTCATAATTGGGACTTCAGTTCCAAGGGATCCGATACCCTCTTTCTACCTCTATGGGTATCAAGTATGCATAAGATACATAGACATCCATATAGGCTAAACACCCATACACATAAAGTAAAAATAAATAAATCTAAAAAAATTTAAGGGGTAGGGAGGGGAGGGATGAACAAACAAACTGGGCCTCTGTGGGGAGGGACCCAGGGTGTAACTCCCATGAAGAAGCAGGACCTGCACCTTGTAAGAAGGGGTGGGCTGCCCTGGGCAGTGGGAAGAACAGGAAGCTAGTGTCATGGGCCTCCTAATTCCCAGGAGGAGACCCAGGAACAGATCCGCCTGGTCATCAAGGGAAACTCAGTCATCAAGACCCGTCTGAGCAGGGGCCCAGAGGAGGTAAGGTGAATGTTGGGCAAGGCTTGGTTAGGAAGGGTGAGCCCAGCCCACCCCATCCACCCTCTGTCCCACAGGTGCTGACTCTGATTCAGCAGAAGGTTGTTCCCACCTCAGAAGCGGTGGCACCACAGAGCCAGGAACTGCTCCGCTGCTTGAAGGAAGAAGCCCAACACCTGCCCCACATTCTGCTGGGTCCCCTGCTGTGGTACCATGCCAAAGGGTGAGGCTGGGTGTAGCATGAATCTTAACAGTTCTTATTAATAAGATCAAACCCGAGGCCAGTTATTGGGGTCAATGCTGGTAGATCAGAGAGACAGAACAAGCCACAGCTAACCTCACCTTGCCAATTCCTCAGCTGGTCTTGTCTCCTCAGACTGGAGGCTTCTGTGTCCTCATCCCAATGGCTCTCAGCTGAACTGCTGCTAGAAACCTGAATGCTTAACCAGCCAAATGCTTAACCAGGCAAATGCTTCTAGTTTCTGGTCCTCACGCCTTATAAACCTTTCTGCTTTCTACCACCACTCCCTGGGATTAAAGGCTGCTTTCTGGGATTAAAGGCGTGAGTCACCATGCCTGACTGTTTCCAATTCGGCCCTGAACTCACAGAGATGCAGAAGAATTTCTGTCTCTGGAATGCTAGGATTAAAGGCGTGAGTGCCACCATTTTCTAGCCTCTGTATCTAGTGGCTGTCTGTTCTCTGACCCCAGATAAGTTTATTAAGGTACACAATATTTTGGGGAACACAATACCACCACACTGGGTCAGCCCTGTCTTCCCCGATGAAACACCATTCACCTGAGTAACTCTAAGGCTAGGTTCAGGTAGAGGGGAGCCACACTCTCAGAAAATAAAGGTGATCAAGAAGACAGCTGACATCCACCTTGGGCCTCCACACACATGCACGTGCACACAAAAGCAGCCAGGGTCCCCAGACTCTCAAAACTAACCCCATATCATCAGCTACAGTCTGGTCTCCCAGTCCTTAGCCCCACCTCCAAGTCCCTTTCTCCCCAGAGCTTCTAGAAATCAGGCTGTTCTATTAGTGTTCTTATTGCTACCCGCAGGCTGAAGCCGCTACCCAGGATCCTACCATCCATCCATCAGCTGCACCCCACTACCCCAAGGAGTTCCAGCCTCATCTCGCTGAGCCATACCCTGGGGCTGCCTGTAGGGAAAGTGAGTGCCCATGCCCTGTGACCTGTCTGCCCATTCCAATCCCAACTCTATGGCCAAGATGACCATCTTTCCCCTGCCCCCAGGCACCCGAGCTACTCCTTCCAAAGGCTGTCTCTCTCTGCCAAGACCTTCTGTTTCTCCAAGACCAGTTGGGTCTCCGAAGAGGAAATCTCCTTCACGTGAAGACCAGTATGCCCCTGGGGCCATCCACCCAGGGTACGTTGGCTTTGCAGATCCTGCACCTTCCGTTTGCACCACCACAGGCTTCCTGAAGTGCTAAGAACCCCACACCATGGTGTGCTGGAAACACACTTGCTTGTTTCCTCTGCTCAGCAAGCTCTTGGCTCTGGTCGGTGCTGTTCCCCAGTGACAGAGCAGGGAGCTCAGGTGCACGAGGCTCAGTAGCCCGGCCACGTGGTAGAATGAAGCTTGGTTGGTTTGCTTTTATTTTTTTGGTATGTATCTCACCGTGTAGCCCAGGCTGGCATTCAAACTTAAGATCCTCTTGCCTCTTCCTCCCAAGGAAGGCCTGTACCACCACTCCCAGCACGAGCTTGGATATGAACCTAGATAGTCAGATGTGGAGCTAACTAAAAAGCTATACAACCTGTCCATTTGCCAAGTACTCACTCATTGCCATCAGAATGTTCCTTTAGTGTGTGTGTGTGCCATGTCTGTGAGGGTCAGAGGACAACTTGTTGGAGTCTGTTCTCTCGGTCCACCATGTGGGTCCCAGGGGTCAAGCTCAGGAAGTCAGGCTTGGCAGCAAGCGCCTTTACCTGCTGAGCCACCTTGATGGCCCAGAGTGTGTTCTGTTGTTGTTTCTTGAGACAGGGTAAGTAGCCTAAGCTGGCCTCAGAAAAACAATCTGTTCCCTTAACTGCCCAAATGCTGGAATGATAGCCCTGCACCATGACCCCTGGCCTCGCGGTTATCTTGAACTCCTAATATACCTGTAACAACTCTTAGGTCCCTCTACTCTAAAGAATAATTGTGTCCCCTTCCTTCCTGGCTTCCTCCCCTCTCTAATTGATCCCTGCCCTCTTCATCTGGCAGAAATCAGGCTTAGTTCCCATGGCTCCCTAACCCCATGTCAACTCATCAGCAAGCCCTCAGAGTCCCAACTCCAGGCTTCATTATGAGCCCTGCCACACTAGCCCATGACTCAGGAATTCTCAGAGACAGCAGGCCTAGACAAAGAGCATGTAAGAGTCACGGTGGATGTCACAGACAGGGAATGCAGTGACCATGATGCTTTCTGCATTAGGTTTCAGTGGGGTTTTGTTTTGGTACATGGAGAGGGACTAGGCCCATTCACCATCTGCAAGAGTGAAAGGTTGGAGCAGGGTGAAAGGGCCTTGGGATAAAGGATGCTAGGAGGGATAAGGATGTTTCCCAAAGGGGAAGATGGTGAGCTGAAGACAGTGCTCGGGGAGTGGATGCTTGCCTAGCATGCGTACAGCCCATAACCGCACTGCATGAAAGGAGCATGGTGGTGGGAATGGTGGCGCACACCTTTAATCCCTGTAAGGGGAGGCAGAGACAGGAGGGTCTCTGTGGGAGATAGTGAGGTCCAAGCCAGCCAGGCCTACATAGTGTCGAAAGACCTGTCTCTAAAAAACGGTGGTGGCTCGAGAGACGGGCGGCTCAGTGGTCAGGGGCACCTGCTCTCACAGGGGACCTGGGGCAGCCCAGCACCCACATGGCACGCAGCTCACAACCATCGTAACTCCAGCCAGGGCCACACAGAAAGAACAGAAGGAGAAACAAAGGAAAAGTGTGGGCCCTGGAGTTAGGGCACGTTTTCCCCAGAAGGGAACAGGAACCACATAATGCAGACTGTCACAAACTGGACAGAGCCTGGACTCTGCCTGGAGGGCACTGGGGAGCCTGGAAGCAGACTTCTGAGCAGGAGAGGGAGACACTCAGGAAGAAGCTTCTGGTTAACTGGAGGGTGAGCAGAATGGAAGAGTAAGGCCTGGAGCCTAGGAAAGAGGCCACAGAGAGGAGAAAGAAACTGACGCAGCTGAGTGTGTGTCAGAGACTCGTGGGCCATAGAGTAGAAGGCAGGAAAGTCTAGGTTGAAGCCTTGAAGGTGGCATCCTTGAGATGGAGACCCTGGAGACAGGGCATGAACTGCCTCCCCACTGTAACCTCCAGAGCTGCTGCAGATCCAGGCGTCTCAAGAAAAGGAGCAGAACGAGGCCATGGGGCAGGCCCTGAAGAAGCTGGAGGACCTGATGGAACAGGCACTGGAGCAAATCCCCAAGCTGCAAGTGTTCGTTGGGGACTGGTGAGATGGGGCTTCGAGCACAGGGAACTGACTGCTTCACAGCCAGAGCTACCATGATGGGAGGGTCTGGAGGCCGGGGCTTTCCTCAGACACCGCTCCTTTCCTCAGGTGGGAGCAGCCAGGCCAAGCCGCCCTCTCTGGGGAGCTCTGCCAGGGTCTGTCCCTGCCCCAGTGGCAACTGCGCTGGGCCCAGGCCCGGGGAGCACTGCAGCAGCCATACAAATGAAGAGGAGGCCAGGGGCAGTCAAGAATTGCAATTTAGCCTGGTGGTATGAGCCTGTTGTCTGCTCGGGAGGCCGAGGAGCCCAGGAAAGGACTCCTGTTGATTTCTACGCCAGCCTCGGCTACACAGCAATTTCCAAGACAGCCTAGGCTACATAGTGAGAGCTCCTATTTCAAAAATAAATAGTATTTAACCCCCAAACTTCACCTCCCTCAATAAAGCATTTGAAAGAAAGTATTGCCCGCTTCTGTCAGCTTTGTCCTGGCACAGACCTTCAGTTCCTTCTGGCTGCCATTCTGTGGCTCTTCCCAGTTCTCTCCATGCCCTTCCATTCAAGCCAAGAGAAAGGGGTTTTTTGGACCGTACACCTTAGAGTGGCTGCTTCACTTTCCTCCTCAGCAGATTAAATCAAATGAACCAAAGCCCCTGCCTTCAGAGACCTAGTGGCCTAGGAGAGGGAGCTAGCCAGCTGGCAAGGTGAATGACGGTATGGCACAGCGGAACCTAACTGCCATGAAGACATTAAGTAGGGTAAGGGAGTTGGAGGGAGCCTTCCAGGGCAGAGCTTTGCTGGAAAGGTGAATCAGAAAGGCTGCAGGTGGCTGGAGCAGCACAGTGCCTTGCCAGAATAGAGCCCTGTGCAGTGCGAGAGATGAGAGTGTCCTCTAGGGTTCTGTTTTGATCGGCTATGAACATAGCCCAGGCTGGCCTTCGACTCAGGAGCCTCCTGCCTCCACCACCCACACCTCAGTGTTTGTACTACCAGGTTGTCTCAATCCCTTTTCTAAACACTGTGACAACCCAAGAGAGGCTCATTCCGGCTCCTTGAGAGGCTCCTGTGCGTCCTGGGAGGGAAGGCATGGCCGCTGAAGTAACTTGGACGGGAGCTGAAGGAGTTGCTTGTTCGTATCACGATGGAGCTAGAGACAGAATATTGAGTAGAATCAGAGAGGAATACAAAAGGCTCGCTGCCGGCAGCCCACTCCTTCTAGGCAGGTCCTATATCCCAAAGGTTCGCTAACTTCACAAAACAGCACCAACACCTGGGAACCAAATATTCAAACACGAACCTGTATGGGCCGTTTCAGATTCAGACTCCAACACGGGTTTTACAGTTAGTACAGTTTTTCTTTTTTATGTTTAAATCCGAGCTATTGGTAGTTTATCTGAGAAGAATGATCTGTTGTCGCCTTACTTTAGACATATCCCTACTTTGGAGGAGGGGCAGTAAGATGACTCGCTGGGTAAGGGCAGTGGTCTCCAAGCCTGATGACCTGAGTTCAACCCCTGGGACCTAATTCATAGCGGGAGGAGAGATCAGCTCCTGCAAGTGGTCTCCTGTCCACCATGTGCGCTATGGTATGCACATGGACACACACAAGTAAGTGTTATTTAAATGTTTCACAAAAGGATACAATGTAAATGCCTTACAACATTGTGTTTGCATTAGAAACGCAACTTAGTTTTCCTGAAACGTCCCTTGTAAATGACAACATTGGAGCGGGCGGTGGTGGCACACACCTTTAATCCCAAGCAGAGGCAGACAGATCTCTGTGAGTTCGAGGCCAGCCTAGTCTACAGAGTGAGATCCAGGAAAGGTGCAAAGCTACACAGAGAAACCCTGTCTCGAAAAACCAAAAAAAAAAAAAAAAAAAAAAAAATGACCTAAAGCATAAATTTTCATGAGTCTATATTGACAAAATGATTGAATAAATGGGTGACAATAGAGAAATCTTCCACTAAAATTTGTAATATTTATGTACATATTCTTTCAAGGAGGTGTAGCAAAGTCACATGAAGTGGCACACACAGTTCCTGCATTCAGAAGGCTGAGACAAGAGGATGCTAACCTGGGACTATATAGAGACCCTGCATCAAAAAGAAGTGACATGTAATTCCCTATTCCTCAAGGCTGCACTTGATGGTGTCTTCCTTCTAGAGTACAGAAAAGCAATTTTTAAAGGAAATCTATAGTGGAAACGCTCAATATGACCTCGTCCAAGTGACAGGTGATAACCATATGTATAATTTGTATTCTTGGGCTCTGAGAAGAAAACCACTTTACCCTCTGTGGCCTTTTCCCCAGAGAGCATGAGTAGAATAACGAGGGAAAAAACATCAAATCCCAAATGAAGAACACGCTACAAAACACCTAACAGCATTCCTCAAACGTGTCACAGGGAGGAAGACCCAACAGAAACCCAACAACTAAATGGAACGGGAATGTGGCATCCTGGTGAGATGCTGGAACAGAACAGGGACATTAGGTAAAACCAAAGGACACTGGAATGACCCATGAGCCTTAATTCATGAAAATGTCAGCGGGCTTGGAGGAGCAGTCAGGAGACAGAAGCGGCTAACAAACAAAAAACTTCAATTCTCCCTAGATATCTCTAGCATAAAAGGTGCGTACCTACAATTCCAGCACTTGCAAGGCTGAAGCAGGAATTCCTAATAGTTCGAGGACAACCTAGGCTACCAAGTGAGTTCCATGCCTGGGCTCAAGAGCCAGACCCTGTCTCAAAAACCAAACCAAACCAAACCCCAAAAGGAAAACATGAAGCCAGTCCGTAAAAAAATAATAACGAACTGACGCCTGGCAGAGTGTCAGGAGACGGACTTGGAGGTGTTTACAAACTTCTGGAAGGGCCTCGGAACTTCCACAGCGGGGTGGGTCTAACTGACGTTCTTCGTTCTCATTCGCCTACCTTCCCCGTGGGGGCGTGGCCGGCCCCTTCTGCCGCGCTCCGACAGATGCAGGACCCTTCCGGGCCCGTCATTCCAACACTCTGATTGGCTTGTACTTCCCTGCGGGTGTGGCCATATCTCATTGGCCCCTGTTCCTGGGCCTACGGCGTCACGCAGCGCATCCGTCGCGCTAGTCCATACGTCAGCGGCCGGCTCCCACCCTGAGGAGCTAGGGGCTCGACCGTAGAATCCACGGCGGCGGCTGAGAGGAGCGGCGAAGGCGTCGGCTTCAGCGATGGCAGGGGCGGGGCCGGCTCCGGGACTCCCGGTTGCGGGAGGGCCCGTGGTCCCGGGGCCTGGTGTCGGCCTCCCGGGCAAGAGCGGCGAGGAACGCTTGAAAGAAATGGAGGCGGAAATGGCCCTGTAAGGCCCTGAGAAGGAGAAATAAAAGCGGTTTCCAGGCAAACCCACTCAGCCCTGGAGTCTCTAGGTCTTCAAAGGCCTGAGATGCGGCTCCATAAGGGGCCGTGGGACTCGAGAAACTCGGGGCATGGAGACGTGCGCGGGGAGGCTTTGGCTGGGATGAAGGCGCTGTCGCGATGTGCCCAGCGCCCCAGCCTTGGTGAGAAGATCTGACCTATGGTGTCTGTCCCGCTCCCTCAGGTTTGAGCAAGAAGTCCTGGGAGCTCCGGTGACCGGAATCCCAACTGCTGTGCCTGCGGTGCCCACGGTAGAAGCCATGCAGGTCCCAGCAGCTCCTGTGATCCGCCCGATTATCGCCACCAACACGTACCAGCAAGTAAGGCGGGAGCTCCAGCTTATGAGTCGGGGGAACACAATGTTTTTGATCCTAATAACGGTTTATCTATGGGGAGCGATTGACATTTTGGCTGGCTCAGCATGACAAATAATTCATGTGCCAGGAACTCGGGATGCAAGGCAGAGTATATTTAATCCTTTGAAAGCATCTATTCTGCAGCATCCTGTCTGGTAGAACTTTCTGCAGTGCCGGGAACTATCTAAACTTTCTGCAGTTTATATAGTGTTATATCTAAACAGCTTGAAAATTTATACTCACGGATTTGCGAAGTAGTTCAGTGGTAGAGCACTTACGTACCTTGTGCAAAGCTCTAGTTTCTAAGTCCACCACTATCACAAAAATAGTAAAATGTATACTTCGTTAAATCATTCCCAAGTCTCATTGATAATATTCCAGGTGCTTAATAGTCAGCCTTATATGATTAGTGGAAAGAAAGTAACAGGGAGGAACTATTTAAATAAATGCCAGCAAAAGAAACATTGATTCTGTTTGCAATTAGTAAGTGGACTGTGATGCAGCTCAGTGATCGATCTCTTGCCTAGCATGCCAAAGACATAGGTTCAATCCTTTGCACATATATATATATATATATATATATATATATATATATATATCTCAAAAGCAGCTCTTGACTGCTTTCTCTGTGCCAGGCTCTGTTCTAAGCAATGGGCATATAGAAAACAAAACAGAAAAGATATTGTTGCTTCTTTGGCATTTACATTTTAGTAGGGAGAGAGATTACAGAGTGGTAAGAAGAGCAAAGTTTTATTAGTAGTCAGGGAAGTCAGCCTTTTTGTTTTGGTGTTAGTAAAGCAAAGATATAAACAAGTTAATGAAACCATGCAGCTATCTGGAGTAATGTTATCCCCCAGCAGACGGCTGTCCATGCAGAGATCCTAAGACCACATCTGTAATTGTCATAGTGTTCAAGCAAAAGCAGAGAGGTTAATGGCCAGAGAAGAGTGAGCTAAAAGGAAAGCGGAGGAGATCAAGACAGAGATGGAAGCTAGATCTTGCAGGGTCTTGTGGGCTTCTTTAAGAATCTTGGCTTTTAGCCAGGTGGTGGTGGTACACGCCTTCAATCCCAGCACTCAGGAGACAGAGGCAAGTGGATCTCGGTACAGTTCCAGGCCAGCCTGGTCTACAGAGCGAGTTCCAGGAATCTTGGCTTGGCTTTTACTTTTTGGGGGAGAGGGCAGGTTTTGAGACAAGGTTTCTCTGTGTAACAGCTCTGGCTGTCCTGAAACTGGATTTGTAGACCAGGCTGGCCTCAAGCTCTTGGAGATCCGCCTGCCTCTGCCTCCTCAGTGCTGGGATTAAAAGCATGAACAACCACCACCTTTTACTTTTGAGATGAGGAACTAATAGAGAATTCTAAGCAGGAGTGTGATAAAGGTCCAATTTACAGATGACTTTGGCTATCTGGATAATAGACTAGAGAAGTCAAGGTAAATTCTAGGAGATGGAGGAAGAGGCTAATAATCTAGGTAAGATGGATGTGGGAAGCAGGGATGACAAGTTGGACATTATTCGAGATAGTGCTGTGGGGTGTGCAGCCTTGCCCTGAACATGCCTGATTTCAGAAATGAATCAGGGACTTGGTTTTTCCTTGGATGGGAGATAGTACTGTAGGGAAGCTGAGTCAGAAAAATTGACCCTGGAAGATGTTAATAATAATAGATTTACCTGCCGGGCGTGGTGGTGCACGCCTTTAATCCCAGCACTCGGG